TGTCGGGATTCGCGGGATTGTCGGAATTCGCGGGATTCGCGGGATTCGCGACTTCCCGGGATTTGCGGGATTCGCGGGATTTGCGGGATAAGCGGGATTTAGCTATAACTTCTTTTAAAATAGCTTTATTTGTAATCTGAGTGAAGATTTGGTTTCAGCTTGATGAGACGAATCTTTTGATATACGGTATGTCCGTAGTTCATAGTGACGGGGTAGACATACAATGATACCTTGTTGTTTTCTACGTTAAGGCTTTTGTGAACATTTATCACAGTGTAAATCGCGTATAGGAGGTCCTGGTACGAAGCTCTCGTTATCGAAAACTATCGCGAAAAATTGGGCAGTTTCTATCTGCCCTTATCGCTGATATAAGCATTTTATCATTTATCACTGATAATAACACATTTTTGGATCATTTTTTGCATATGGTAAGGAAAGTACTGTAGGAAAAGCTGTGTGGATTTCTATCGCTCTTTCTCTCATTATAAGTGATCTACAGGCTTTTCTAGTTCTATTGCTCGGTGCAATTGGTAGATCCCTCGCTGCAGCAATCGATCGATTTTTCATCGGCACATGCCATTGCTGCCAATTCTTACCTAGAATGGCATTTTTGCTTCAACTCGCTGCACGCCGAAGCCTGGGCAGAAATTCTGTACCTATATGGAAGATGAACGTGGAAATCGACCGCATGAATTTAAGCCATTCTTATCTGTCGTTGTCATTGATATCATCATTTTATCATTTATCACTGACGACACAAACTTGGATCATTTTTGATATACAATAAGAAATGTACTTTAGAAAACGCTGTGTGAGTTTTTATCGCTCTATCTCTTATAGTACAAAACCACTCACTCGAACTGTGCTATCAAAAGGTGCATGCTCAGGCTCCAGTCTATAAAGTTCGCCGAGTTACGAGCCTACGAAAAGGACGTCCTCATAATTTTCGCTCAAAATGTAAAAAATCGCGTATTTCGTCGAAATTCCGCCCTCAGTGGTTGTATGACATACTGATCAAATCTGTTCACATTAATCAATGGTCTTAATGTGCTAAATTTGGAAATTAGGTAGATCTGAGCTCAAGCTACGAAGATGCTTGTGTCGAGACGCAGACTAATTAGAGTCCGACAGTCCCCTCGCCGACTGGGCGGTGCCACCAACTTAAGATGAGCTGGCACTCCCCGGGTGCTCGGTGGTCCCCTCCCCAATTATGTTCCCTCATATTTATATTTATGTTATAACAATAAAATACTCTAGTCAGAACTGTTATGTTATTACAAAGGAAAGAAACTAAGGGTAGAGGGATCAAGTCAAGAGAATAGCTAACTCTTCAGACTTGACACCTGGATATTCAAATAGCAGCTGAAGAACGCGCGACCACCATATTCAACTCAATGGGATCCCTTAGGCGAAGTGAGCATATGCAATCAGAATGTCATACAACCACTGAGGGCGGAATTTCGACGAAATACGCGATTTTTACATTTTGAGCGAAAATTATGAGGACGTCTTTTCGTAGGCTCGTAACTCGGCGAACTTTATAGACTGGAGCCTGAGCATGCACCTTTTGATAGCACAGTTCCCAGTGATTTTGACTTGGAAAAGCAAGCAGGCTAGTTTTCTGACAAGTTCGCGAAAAGTGCAGGCAAATTTACAACTTTCGTGACTCAGTTACAGTCACCTCACAATATCTCTACAAAAAGACCCTGTCTTCTTCAAAGACCACTATTTTCGTGAACAGCGTGTTCGAAAACCTTTTTGGGCGAAGTTTCTTTACAATCCAAGGTCATCAACATTTTGACCAAAACCCATCGGCGAGCTTCAGGGCGTAGAACGAGAAAAAACCGAATCATCCAAATTTTTTTGAAAACTTGCTCATAGAGGTTATCTGACCTGCTGATTACGAAAATCACATCTGCTTAGCAGTAGAGCTTCTCATTTTAAGGTCACTGTGGGCAAAATTTGAGACAACACGATTTTCCAGAATTCACCAGCTCTTCTATCTTTTCTCAAAAAGATTCTCGGTTGCTTCTTAGCGCTCGATAATCTGCGGAAGCAGCACAATCCAGCAGTGCTTAATAGAGTCTTTTATGTTTGATGTGCGCTGCGTTGCGACCTTGTGAATATACGCGCGCAGAAAATTTTGAAAAAATTGAAAACGGAACTTCAAGAACATGCTGTATACAGTAAGATTCGACTTGTCAAGATGAACACAAATCTGCTTTCTGATTTCGAAAATGTTCATTCTAAAGAAAGTTACGGCTAGTAATTTTGGAACAGCTTAATTTTTCCAGAGTTTATCAGCTCTTCTATCTTTTTTGAAAGGGAGTCTCCGGCTGCTGTTTAGCGCACGATAATCTAGTGAAAGATTACTATCGAACGGTGCCCATGGCAGTCTCCAATGTGTGATGCTTGTTGCGTTACACCCATGCGAAGAGGCGTCGGCATGCAAATTCAAGATTATTGAAAACAAGATATTGGAGACAATCGTATATCAAAAGATTTGCCTTGACGAGCTGAATACAACGTTGTTTTCGGATTTTGAATATACTCATTCGGAAAGAAGTTATGGCCCTGCGTAATTTGCGTGATTCACATGAATTTCGCGGAATTCCCGGAAATTTTGCATGTTCTGTGAGTGGTTTTGTACTATAAGAGATAGAGCGATAAAAACTCACACAGCGTTTTCTAAAGTACATTTCTTATTGTATATCAAAAATGATCCAAGTTTGTGTCGTCAGTGATAAATGATAAAATGATGATATCAATGACAACGACAGATAAGAATGGCTTAAATTCATGCGGTCGATTTCCACGTTCATCTTCCATATAGGTACAGAATTTCTGCCCAGGCTTCGGCGTGCAGCGAGTTGAAGCAAAAATGCCATTCTAGGTAAGAATTGGCAGCAATGGCATGTGCCGATGAAAAATCGATCGATTGCTGCAGCGAGGGATCTACCAATTGCACCGAGCAATAGAACTAGAAAAGCCTGTAGATCACTTATAATGAGAGAAAGAGCGATAGAAATCCACACAGCTTTTCCTACAGTACTTTCCTTACCATATGCAAAAAATGATCCAAAAATGTGTTATTATCAGTGATAAATGATAAAATGCTTATATCAGCGATAAGGGCAGATAGAAACTGCCCAATTTTTCGCGATAGTTTTCGATAACGAGAGCTTCGTACCAGAACCTCCTATACGCGATTTACACTGTGATAAATGTTCACAAAAGCCTTAACGTAGAAAACAACAAGGTATCATTGTATGTCTACCCCGTCACTATGAACTACGGACCGTATATCAAAAGATACGTCTCATCAAGCTGAAACCAAATCTTCACTCAGATTACAAACAAAGCTATTTTAAAAGAAGTTATAGCTAAATCCCGCTTATCCCGCAAATCCCGCGAATCCCGCAAATCCCGCGAAGTCGCAAATCCCGCGAATCCCGCGAATCCCGACAATCCCGCGAATCCCGACAATCCCGCAGTTTTGGACAAATTCCACCGCTGCAACTGTACTATATTCTCTCTATTTTAGGTATAAACAATTCACGATGAACGGTGACGAGATTTCACGTGCTCTAATAGTTATAAGAGCTTCAGCCTTGTATAGTAGTCTTGTGCTTTCCCTTTTTTCTCTGAAAAAATGAGATAACTGGATATTAAGATAATATTTTTTCAAAGGCTTCTTTTATAAAATAAGAGTCCCTTTCGGTTTGATGTGTAAGTGTAGACAGTGTCTCAAGCCTAAACTGAGCCTTCCGAGAAGCCAACAGGCATTTGAAATACTGAAATATCCACTTTTTTGAATCTTTGACCACTCTAGTTCCTACGTTTACGAAGAGAAACGTTTTAAGGATGCTGTTGTTCTTTAATTTCCCCACGTATAGTTATTACAACTTATTTATCAGTGCAAGTTCGGAATATGCATTGATTGAATTTGAGGTATTCATGGAAACCTGCGTTTCATTCTTGCATACGTCTCTTTCGAAGGAAACCTAGAGGTTTCCACTTTACATTTTTCTCCTTTGTGAGCATAAATATGCTCTACGGCTCATGAGTGAGGCAACAGGCATTGAGAAGGGTGCGCGCTGCGTGCGCGCTGCGGAAGTACCTATGGGAACCTAGCCGGGGTCCACACTATAGTAAGTAATTTACCGTAACTGTTCGAAATACTAGCATCAACACCGATGGTACTAGAATTTTTACCGGTTGAAACTGCTTGTCCTTCTCCATCCACGGCCACGTAAAATCATAATTATAATGATTATGATTTCCTCTTTTTGGTTTGCGGCTAAGTCACAGAAAGCCATAAGAGTCACGGAAACATACTGTGCAATCCCATCTGGGAAATATTCTGTGTCTACATTCACAGAAGCGTTCGAGTTCTCTGTTCCATTTCCAAGTACGAAACCGTTACCAAGCGCAGATGAAATCGTAAATCATGTAGAACAAATTCATTTTCAACATTCTCTCGTAATTCTGTCCCAGCTTATGAGAACATATCTGAAAAATAGCCTACGTTACAGAATCATTAAAAATTTCAATCTTTGGATTTTCCAAACGATGTATGGAATTTGAAACTCTCAGACATTTCTGATATTTCCAACACCTTCTTTTTCAGTGAAAATAAAACTAGCAGAAACTAATATCGGCCGCACTTGTTTGTCCATGGCTATCCTGAATGTTGAGACCATTCTGCACCGTCATATGCTTGTTGGTCCCTTCAGCTGTAGCATTCGTTCCTACCTTGCCTTCGTTACCGGCCTGCAAAATAGGATTCATTCAAAATGTTTAAATTTACTTCGTCTAAAGATCTTTATAATAAGTAGTGTTGCCGTAGAAAAAACTTAGAAAATAAATAAAAAATATGTGCTCCATCAAAGAAAAATCATCCTGTGATGTAATTACGGAAGCAAACCGGCACAGGTACGTCGCAGCTCAGCCATCGGCGCTGTGTCGCGACATCGTCGTTGAAATCATACTATACAGAATCATTTCTGTAGTGTGTATTTCGCAATCCCAACCAAAAAGCGACACCTGTCCACCGCGATGAACGGGAAACGGGCGAGTTGCGAGCGGGAAGAACGCGACTCGTCGCGCTGAGGACCGTGACGTGGTCGCAAGATCGCGTCGGCGACTCGCTCTTCTGAGCGGTCTTATAGAAGTGCAAAAAATATAGGGCTCTCCTTAAGCGCTAGACGTGTTGAGTTTGCGACCATTGCGCGCGGTAGGTCATTAGACCACTACGTACAGGTCACCTATCAACCTAAGTCTAGCTGAAGAAACTGACAATAAAATAACTTAAGATTTCAAGCTCACTCATGGGGGTGGGGGGATAGACTATTTTTGACAAATGGTAGTACACTCAAGAGTCAATGTTAAAATGCTGATATTCAGATTTGTCAAACTCATAAATACCTGCGACTGGTAAGCTTATGCCAGAGTTAATTTAAGGATGGTGTTCTCGAGTGCATCCGAGTGACCACCGTAATATTGCACTGCTGGCAATATAGAGCAATTATCGCGGCCTCATCCTACCCATGCCTTTACCCGCTGTCGTGGTGAGATTGCCAAGTCGGCGGGTATACGCAGCAGGCTCACCTAGGACAACCTTACCTAGGTTGATCGGTAGCTTTGCGCAGAGGCGATAACGTGACCAATGAGGCTCTGCCGAGGTGCGTTTATTGCTGGTTGAAAACTTATACCAATTGCCCGCGATGGCGCCTGAACAAGGCTGTCATACGCAATTTTTGAACGCCTCCAGGGGGCAGCAAGATCGAGAAGTAGTAAGTGTGGGACTACGTGTGTGGGTCTGCAAAGTAAAATCCATTAAAAACCTCGATTCATTTTCCCTACATCTAGTTATGAATTAATGGTGTTACCTAATAATCTGAGAAGAAAAGTAACGCAACGATTACCAGAGATTTTTTTCGAAAAAAAAAACATGAAGAAAGTTCTCGTGTGCTGTGCTAACAGAAGCAACCTGGCACAGGTGCGCCGCGGCTCAGCGAACGGCGCCGTGTCGTGACATTTCCGATGAAATCATACTATACAGAATCATTTCTGTAGTGTGTATTTCGCAATCCCAACCAAAAAGCGACACCTGTCCACCGCGATGAACGGGAAACGGGCGAGTTGCGAGCGGGAAGAACGCGATTCGTCGCGCTGAGGACCGTGACGTGGTCGCAAGATCGCGTCGGTGAATCGCTCTTCTGAGCGGTTTTATAAAAAGACAAAAATTACGGGGTCCTGCGTAATCGAGTCGCTGAGTTTGCGACAATCGCGCGCGGTAAGTCATTAGGTGGGTACAGATCAAGCACCAACGAGTCTAGCTGAACAATGTGACAATGAGGCAAAACTTTAAATTTTAAGCCCACCCATGGCAATGACCCTCGGGATCCGATGTTAAAATGCTAAAATCTAGATTTTTTTCCGACTATTAAGTACTGCGGCTAGTAAGCTCGATAAAATTAATCATGTTGGTGTCCTCGAGTGCTCCCAAGTGACCAACGCAATATTGCGTCGCTCATAATATAGCCAATTATCGCGGCCTCATCCTACCCATGCCTTTACCCGCTGTCGTGGTGAGATTGCCAAGTCGGCGGGTATACGCAGCAGGCTCACCTAGGACAACCTTACCTAGGTTGATCGGTAGCTTTGCGCAGAGGCGATAACGTGACCAATGAGGCTCTGCCGAGGTGCGTTTATTGCTGGTTGAAAACTTATACCAATTGCCCGCGATGGCGCCTGAACAAGGCTGTCATACGCAATTTTTGAACGCCCCCAGGGGGCAGCAAGATCGAATAGTAGTGAGTGTGAGACTATGATCACACAGAAAATAGATGCGGAAGTAATTGCCTTCGGATGCTTTGCATAAATGCTGCTCAACTTATTAAGGCAAATCTTGTGATGTACGACATGTACTCGACATGCGTTTTCAGTGCTCATGAATTTTTTTCGGACATCTTTTCGAGAAATATAACGCAGCGCGCATCATACATAGAAAAAGTAAGCACCTTTATTTAGCGATATTTCTGTCGATCATCAAACGCTAAGAAGTAGCTGTAGACTTCGTTGCAGAAGATAGAAGGGCTTGTGAAATCTGAAAAGATCGTCTCATTTTATTCACCGTAAGTCCTTTCACCGTGACCCTAAAGTATGGAGCTATCTTGCTAAACAGAGTTGATTTTCGTAAGCAGCAAGTCAACCTTAATATTTATGGGCAATTTTTTTCAAGAGTTCACGTTCGAAATCAGGGTTTCACACCCTCTGCGATAGTATACTCAACATCCTTTTCGACTGGATTGGCAGGTAGAAGGCGGGGCTTGGTGACCTAAGTAAGGCTAGAGAATAATCAGAGGGCACTTTTGCGAGAGAGAGGCAGACTGCGTTGCGGGCGCGAGCGGTCGCATTCCAGCCGCCACTCTCGTTGTATAAAAGCATTTCTAATCGCACATTTCGACTTTGGGACATATCTTATTTACTGGTGAGGATATATATAAACGGGAAGCAAAAAAAGTTTTCGAATTGTAATACTTTATGCCTTATGCGAGTCTCAGCTAAAATTTAGAGTAGGTCAGCATATCCCAAAGAGATTCGCACCATTACCTGAGCAGAATTTCTATATTCCGATAGTTTTTTTTCTTTCAACTGCTGCTGTTGTAACCAGATATATTGCATTATCAACTAACAATTTATTACTACAAAATCAATTAACTCGACGCAGATGCCGACGATGAGCCTTTTGAGTTTGACGATGCCTTTTGCGTGTTTTTCAGAGTTTGTTGACCTAAGATGATGTTCATTACATAATACATACAAAGTAAGGTAAAAGTTGCATTTAATGTGCCATTAACATCGTTGACAAAAGAAAAGGAACTGACTTGAGTGCGATCACCACTGGCTGCCACGCCTTCATTGACAGTAATAGCTAGAGGGTTTACTCTACAAAAAAATCCGTAAATATAACTCAGATAGAAGTTTTACCAACTTCTCAATCCGTTCAACAGCTGCTGTATAAGGCCTACATTTGTCTGAACAGAGCTATCGCCAACGCCTCCACCCCAAGCCTCCATCGCGGCAGTTCCGTTTGATCCCGTGGCGCTATTAGCAATTAGGGATGTATTGCCTCTCATGCCATTAGTTTCACCGTGGGCTACACCACTGGACAACGCTAATCCTTCTGTAAATATAGGTCTCTAGAGTAACGAATATTTTTATAAAGGTGATTATGGGGGATAGTTTAGCTGAACGAGGGAGGAGAAGGGAGGAAAAGAGCCCTTTCATTTCGAAATGTCGCGAAATCTTGTCATTTATATGAGTTTTGATATTCTGCAGGCGACTTGTCTTCACTTAGGAATAGTTGAAACGATTTCCAAAGTTTTTTTGAAAACTTCAATTATCAATGTAAAAAACTGAGGCTAATTAAAATTTTTAGAGGAAAGGGGGGGAGCCAGAAAAATTTTTGCAAGCATCCCAAAAATTTCTTGAGTATTTTGCTATCACCACGCACCTTCATTCGGTAAAATATTTTATTCTCCTCCCTCTCCCAAACCGAAAATAATTTTTCGGACGGTTTTGGATGAGATCCTGATACAGAATTTGGAAAGTGGAATTTTTATGAAATGCAATGCCAAAAACGCACAAATCTATTGTGCTCTCTTACGAGTAGGCTATATATGAGCGAGCGTTAACCTTAGGAGCGTTAACCTTGTGATAGTTGCGTTCTGAGCTTATCCTTCAGGTCGTTGCCACCAGTGCGCTGAAAATAAGCAAAACAAACGCAAAAAGATTATTGAAAGCATATTTTTACGTATACGGCGGCATATATTAGGTTGAACCGAAAGTTCTGTCGCGCCATTTTCAAGAAGTCATAACTTCTTTCTCTCACAATAATTTTGCGCGATTCAAACTTTATCAGAAAGCGCAAAGCATGTAGTTTCCAAATGTATCCTCGTGACTTTTTAATATGCACAGGTTGCAGAGATAAAAATGAGAGAACGAGATCATCCGAAGTTCGGAATTTTTAAGCAAAAATTCTAAAAATTCAGAAACTGTGCGATTAAATCCAGAACAGCTGTCATCCTAAGCTTTCTTAGATTTGATTATTAACTGAGTCAAGTTTGTGCTGATCGAGCTCTTCTTTCAAAACTTATGATTCTTTGAAAAAAAAATGCCGAAAAGTCAATTTCTTATTATGAAGTGGCAACATTACACACTTTCACAGTCAAGATTTATATGAGTTTAACTGTCAGCTGTCAATAAACACGCAAAAATGGCTTAAATTTTTAGAATTCTGGTTTTCGACGACTATCGCTTAAATCTACTCGATTTTTTCACTATCTGATAGTGCACCATTTACTCTTCAAAACCTATGAAGTCGCAACTGCTATATCTTCAAACAACAGATTTGTAACAGTGGAAATTTCGCATACTTTATCGTTATTTTATCATTCGAAATTGTGGTTCTCGCCTGTTACTGCCTGGATCGACCTACTTTCTTCGCACTACGTTATGACAAAATTTACTTAATAAAATCCGTACATTCCCGCTAACTTTTACTTCCAAATAGACTATTTACTAAACACGTTTATTTTAAATATATATGCCGCCGTATACATAAAAGTATGCTTTCAATAATCTTTTTTGCGTTTGTTTTGCTTATTTTCCTTCTTTATCGTCCTGCGAAAGAATTTCTTATTCCAAAAGTGAAGGTGGTCACCCTGTACCAGCTCAAAAGTGAAGGTAGGGGGGAATGGGGGAATCGGCTTCCACTATCGCACCTCTGATTCGAGGTGGGGGGGGGGGGGAGAGAGAATACGGTTATATTCAGAAAAATGTGACAAATCAAACAATATAGCTTACCAACTGTTGGAGATACTAGCATCACCTCCGATGGTAAGACTTGAATTTTTACCGGTTGAAACTGCTTGCCCCTCACCATCGACAGCTATCCCGAATAATAATAAGGTTTATAATAATTGTAATCTCCTTTTTTTAAGCTTTGCGGCTAATTATGCCATAAAAGTCACAGAAACATACTGTGCAATCCCTCTGGGCCATATTTTGTGTCCACATTCATGGACATTTCCAAGTACGAAACCGTTACCAAGCGCAACTAAAATCGTAAATCATGTAGAACATATTCAATTTCAAAAAATTCCCCTGTTCCGATCTCAGGGACTCGCACCGTGCGGGCGGCCAGCGACGAACTTACAATCGCTCGTTGGTGTGTGCGATTGTACGGTCGTCAAGGGCCGTTAGCACGGTTAACGTGGGGCGCCCGCATGGTTTCTAATGCTCGCCGCTTGCGCGGGGAAGGTCGGCCGCTCGCTTGCTGCTGGAGTAGGTTTATATGGGGTGTTTTAACCATTTTTCTTAGGTATGTTAAGCATTTTCACATCCTGCGAACACGAACTAATGCCTGCCGCACTACCCAAACTTTCCATGGAGAAGCCCACACCATCACTCTTGATAACTGTAGCCTCACGCAGGTTCATTCCAGCTTTGCGGTGAAGGGAAATGTTGATAACACGATAGTCGACGCTTAGCCAGCCTAAACGCTGCGTCGTATCTCATGCAGGTACCGTTTACGCTCAGAGTGTGTGAAAACAATGAGCGAAGGTAGAGGTCACTGTTGACCGCTTGCACGGGCAAATATTTGCCGCCCGATCGAACGGACACATTGCCTGCCGCTTGCACGGTCGGTTTTATTGCGTACCGATTGCGCGGCGAGATTGCCTGCCGCTTGTACGATCAAGTGATTGCTGGCCGATCGTGCGGACGCATTGCCTGCCGCTTGCACGGTCGATTTTATTGCGTACCGACCGAACGGGTAGACTGTCTTCCGCTTGCACGGCATTTTTATTGTTGACCGCACGCACGGTACATCAAAAACTATGCAGTGCGCTCAGGCGGAGGAGCTTTAATGAGGACCGCCCGCACGGCGCGAATCCCTGAGATTGTGAGCTACAAAGGAAAATATCCGCGTAGAAAAATACGGCGATTCAATATAAAAAACCTCAATCTCTTTTTCCACACAAAGTATGGGTTTCAAAACCGGATTTCATTGTTATCCTCATCAGTTTCTTTGCAGTGAAAATAAAATTATTAAACACTAATAATGACCGTACTTGTTTGTCCATGGCTATCTTGAACGTTCAGACCATTCTGCACCGTCATGTGCTTGTTGGTCCCTTCAGCTGTAGCATCGTTCCTACTTTGCCTTCGTTACCGGTCTGCAAAGTTGAATTCATTGAAAATTCTTGAAAAAAATTTTTTCCAACAATGGTTGTGAAACATTGCTGCTAAACTAGAATTTTTGTAATAAAGTAACGCAGAAACGATTAGCAGGGTTTTGGAAAAAACGTGGAAAAGTCTTTTGTGTTGTGCTGACAGAAGCAACCCCGCAGAGGTGCGTCGCAGCTTAGCCATCGGCGTCGTGTTGTGGCTTCTTCGATGAAATCATACTATACAGAATCATTTCTGTAGTGTGTATTTCGCAATTCCAACCAAAGAGCGACACCTGTCCACCGCGATGAACGGGAAACGGGCGAGTTGCGAGCGGGAAGAACGCGACTTGTCGCGCTGAGGACCGTGACGTGGTCGCAAGATCGCGTCGGCGACTCGCTCTTCTGAGCGGTTTTATACGAAGTGCAAAAAATTACACGGCTAGGCGTGATCGCTAGATTCGGTGAGTTTGCGACCATTTTACGCGGTAGGTCATTAGGTCAGTACAGGTCACCCACCAACGAGTCTAGCTGTGACAATGAGACAAAACTTTAAATTTCAAGCTCACCCATGGGAATGATCCTCGGGATTCAATGTTAAAATGCTGATATCTAGATTTTTTCGACTATTAAGTACTGCGTGTGGTAAGCTTAATGCCAAAATTAATCTAATGGTGGTGTCCTCGAGTGCTACCGAGTGACCACCGTAATATCGCTCATAAGATAGCGCAATTATCGCGGCCTCGTCTCTCGCATGCAGTGGTAAGATTACCAAGTTGGCGGGTATATGCAGCAGGCTCACCTGGGACAACCTTACCAAGGTTAGCCGGTAGCTTTGCGCAGAGGCGATAACGTGACCAATGAGGCTCTGCCGAGGTGCGTTTATTGCTGGTTGAAAACTTATACCAATTGCCCGCGATGGCGCCTGAACAAGGCTGTCATACGCAATCTTTGAACGCCCCAGGGGGCAGCAAGATCGAAGAGTAGTAAGTGAGTGCTATGTGCATCATAAACATGGAAGTTAGATTGGAATTAACTACCTCTGAATGGGGGCAGCCAACATGAACGATAGCTTGTGCCAGCCATTTGCGTTGCGTAGATCAAATATATTTCAAATTTTACATTTACGCTATGGCGACATTTAAGAATTTGGAAAAAACGCTAGGAGCTCGGTATGCCCTAATTCTTACGCTTCGACACCATTTTTAGTCCAATGAAGAACGCTTAGCTTTGAAAAATAACACTTTATGAGCGGCATATTGACAACCGCATGAGTACATATGCTTACTTCCAGCTGTCGTTCATCTTGGCATACACCCCCTCTGAATGTCTCTTGATGTAAGCCCTCCCAAGTTAAACGCAAAACTTTGCATAAATGTTGCCTAGCCAGGGCTCGGTCAGGCTGGATATCGTTTTTGGGACAAAATGCAAAGGGAAATGTCGTTTTTGTAGCCGAAAAGAGACAAAATGAGACGTTTTTTTTGGATGACGTTTCGTTTTTAAGGTTTTTACGTTTAGGATTTAGGGTCAAAGGGGACTTCGTACGAAATTTTCCGGATCAAAGAAGACTCCTTAAAATTTCCCTGGTGCCAACTCGTGCAGAACCCTGCTTAACTCATTAAGGCAAATCTTGTGATGTACACCATACCCTCGATATTCCGTTTTCAGTGCTCATAAAAAAATTTTTGTGGAAATTTTCGCGAAATGTAACACAGGTCGCATCATACATTTAAAAATCAGTAAGCGCCTATGTCCAGTGAAATTGTAGATTAAGTAGCTGTAGATTTCTTTACAGAAGAAAAAGAAGGGCTGAAAACCTGGAAAAAAAATCTACAATATGAAGCTGTTTTGCTAAGCAGATGTAAATTCACCAGCAAGTGAGATAAATTTCACGGCAATTTTTTCAAGGGGTCCGCTTTCGAATTAAAGATTTCAGGCTCTCTGCGATGGTATGCAGAATGTGTAATGCCATTTCGAATTCACGGCATTCCTTAGTTAGGGTGAGGGGAGTAGACATCATGACGAGTAACAGAAAAAAGAGTGATTTCCGAATTCGCTATGATTTTTCATGCGAAGCTCAGGTCAAGATTTGGAGCGGGTCCGTCTCGCTATCTCGGACTCTGCACCATTACATGAACAGAATTTCTATATCCCAACAGCTTTTCTTTAATTTAATTCTTTAATTTCTTTAATTTCTTTTCTTTAATTGTTGTAACCAGATATATTGCATTATCAACTAACAATTTATTACTACAAAATCAATTGACTCGATGCAGATGCCGACGATGAGCCTTTTGAGTTTGACGATGCTTTCTGTGTGTTTTCTAGAGTTTGCTGACCTGAAATGAAGTTCATCACATGTTACGTACAGAAGTGAATAGAATCTGCAATTAGCTTACCATTAACGTCGTTGACAAAAGAAAAGGAGCTGACTTGAGTGCGATCACCACTGGCTGCTACACCACCATTTACAGTAATATCTAGAAAGTTTAATATATTAAAAAAAAAGTGATTTTACCAACTTCTCAGTTCGTTCAACAGCTGTTGGATAAGGCCTACGTTTTTCTGAACAGAGCTATCGCCAACGCCTCCACCCCATGCCTCCATCGCGGCAGTTCCATTTGATCCCGTAGCACTGTTAGGAATTAGGGACGTATTACCCTTCAAACCATTCATTTCACCATGGGCTACACCACTGGACAGTGCTAGTCCTTCTGTAAGCAAAGCGTATTAGCATAACCAATGAAAGTAAGGGACTGTGGTTAGTTGCGGGTCTGAATCAGGTGAGACCCTTGATTAAGAAGTTGGAACATGAAGATTTGGAGTCTCATAGGAGTAAGATATATACCAGTGAGGCGGAGAGGGGGGGGATGGGGGTACCAACTTTTTATATTTGTGAATGAAAGCAATGATTTCAAAATGTTTTTAGAACTTCAAATTAGCTTTGTAAAAAAATTTTTCAAACACGTTTTTGAGAAGCATTTTTTCTTTTCATCTAATTTTTCGAACATGGCCGGACAGAGATCCAGCGATCGCCACTGATTTACACCCTTTCATTCAACTGGAATGGGACTGGCGGCTGGAATGCGACCGCTCGCGGCGGCGACACAGTCTGCGTCTCCCTCGCAAGCGTGCTCTGATCATTGTCCAGCCTTGATTAGGCTTTGAAGCCCCGCCTTTTAGCCTCCAATCCCGTTGAATTAAAGGGTATGTATGATTCAGGGATGTTTGTGAAAAAAATTTTGGGGGGGGGGGGGCGTAGGCCACAGACTCTGTCGAATGAGAGACATGGAGTTAGCCATTCTCTCAAAGAGAATTTTTTTCAAGGTGCTTTCGATTTTTGTCGGCTTGTAACCGTGAAGAGGGCGTGACAGCAGAACCTCACTTCAAAGGTTTTTAATTCTTAGACAGATTCTTCGAAGATTTTGAAAATTTTAGAGAATTTTCTACAGCGGTTGGCACAGTTTTATAACTACTACACCACTCAAGGATTTCGAACCTATTTGAGGGGACGAGGTGGTATATAAAATTGTGACAAATCAGATAGTAAGTAACTTACCGTAACTGTTCGAAATACTAGCATCAACACCGATGGTACTAGAATTTTTACCGGTTGAAACTGCTTGTCCTTCTCCATCCACGGCCACGTAAAATCATAATTATAATGATTATAATTTCCTCTTTTTGGTTTGCGGCTAAGTCACAGAAAGCCATAAGAGTCACGGAAACATACTGTGCAATCCCATCTGGAAAATATTTTGTGTCTATATTCACAGAAGCGTTCGAGTTCTCTGTTCCATTTCCAAGTACGAAACCGTTACCAAGCGCAGATGAAATTGTAAATCATGTAGAATTCTGTCCCAGCTTATGAGAACATATCTGAAAAATAGCCTACGTTACAGAATCATTAAAAATTTCAATCTTTGGATTTTCCAAACGATTTATGGAATTTGAAACTCCCAGACATTTCTGATATTTCCAACACCTTCTTCTTCAGTGAAAATAAAACTAGCAGAAACTAATATCGGCCGCACTTGTTTGTCCATGGCTATCCTGAATGTTGAGACCATTCTGCGCCGTCATATGCTTGTTGGTCCCTTCAGCTGTAGCATTCGCTCCTACCTTGCCTTAGTTAGCGGTTGCAAAATAGGATTCATTCAAAATTTCAAATTTACTTTGTCTAGAAATCTTCATAATTACTAGCGTTACCGTAGAAAAAGTTAGAAAATGAATAAAAAAATATGTACTCCATTAAAGAGAAATCATTCTGTGATGTAATTACGGAAGCGAACAGGCACAGGTACGTCGCAGCTCAGCTATCGGCGCCTTGTCGTGGCATCGTCGTTGAAATCATACTATACAGAATCATTTCTGTAGTGTGTATTTCGCAATCCCAACCAAAAAGCGACACCTGTCCACCGCGATGAACGGGAAACGGGCGAGTTGCGAGCGGGAAGAACGCGACTTGTCGCGCTGAGGACCGTGACGTGGTCGCAAGATCGCGTCGGCGACTCGCTCTTCTGAGCGGTTTTATACGAGTAGTGCAAAATAAAAAATGAAGAAAAGGGATATTTTGAGCATTTTTGCTTAGAATTTGGTAAACTATACCATTCACGCATTTGTAGTTTATTTGTAATATGTTCCGAGAATGAGTTCAACTAAGTGCTAAGAAAATTCTTTTTTTATTATTAATTATGCACTCTTATAGAAATGATTCTAATAGTATCAAATATTTTTGAGAATTAATTGGAAAATTAGTTTAGTTTTTTCAATTGATTTTCAAAAGTGATCGATATTATTGAAGTTAATACCAATAGCATCGAATATTTTTCAAAAATTTCCAGTGACACACTTTGCTTCATAAAAATGTTAATATTCCAGAGACTAGACGAGTAAGTCAGCATCCCTACATTAGTTCACACCAGAAGCAAAGTCAAGTCAATTCGTTATGACATTGCGAGTGTGCTTGTGCATTAAGCGCTGTTTGGCACAATTATCGCGACCCCCTACCACATTTGCCTTTAACCCAGTGCTGTGTTCAGATTGCCAACTCGGCTGACATACGCAGCAGGCTCACCTGGGTCAACCTTACCCAGGTTAGTCAGTAGCTTTGCGCAGAGGCGATAACGTGACCAATGAGGCTCTGCCGAGGTGCGTTTATTGCTGGTTGAAAACTTATACCAATTGCCCGCGATGGCGCCTGAACAAGGCTGTCATACGCAATTTTTGAACGCCCGAGGGGGCAGCAAGATCGAAGAGTAGTAAGTATGGGGCTATGTGCATCACAAATATGGAAATTAGATTGCAAATTAACTACCTCTGAATGCCTCTTGATGTAAGCTCTCCCATAGTTAAACGCAAAAACTTTGCATAAATGTTGCCTAGCCAGGGCTCGGTCAAGCTGGATAGCGTTTTTTGAACAAAATGCAAAGAATATATCGTTTTTGTGACCTAATAGAGACAAAAATTGAGTTTTTAGGGTTTAGGAATTAGGGTCAAAGTGGACTTTGCACGAAATTTTCAAGATCAAAGAGCACTTCATTTTGACATTTCCCTGGTGCCAGCTCGTGCAGAGCCCTGCTTATCTCATTGAGGCAGATCTTGTGATGTGTACACCATGCTCTCGATATTCCGTTTGCAGTGCTCATAAAAAATATTTAGTGGTCTTTTCGCGAAATATAACGCAGGTCGCATTACACATTATGAAAAATCAGTAAACGCCTATATCCAGTGAAATTTCTGTAGATTATAAACGCTAAGAAGTAGCTGTTGATTTTTTTCCGGAAGAAATAGAAGGGCTGGAAATCTGAAAAAAATCTACAATATGAAGTTGTTTTGCTAAGCAGATGTAAATTCGTGAGCAGCAAGTGAGATAAATTTTATGGCAATTTTTTCAAGGGGTCCGCTTTCGAAATAAAGGTTTCAGGTTCTCTGTGATGGTATGCATAATGTGTAATGCCATTTCGAATTCACGGCATTCCTTAGTTAGTGTGGGGAGGGGAGTAGACATCACACGACGAGGAACAGAAAAAAGATTGATTTCTGAATTCGCTGTGATTTTTCATGCGAAGCTCAGTTAAGATTTGAAGCGGGTCCGCCTCGCTATCTCAGAATCCGCACCATTATATGAACAGACAGAATTTCTATATCCCAATAGTTTTTTCTTTAATTGCTGCTTTTGTAACCAGATATACTGCATTATCAACTAACAATTTATTACTACAAAATCAATTGACTCGACGCAGATGCCGACGATGAGCCTTTTGAGTTTGACGATGCTTTCTGTGTGTTTTCTAGAGTTTGCTGACCTGAAATGATGTTCATCACATGTCACGTACAGAAGTGAATAGAATCTGCAATTAGCTTACCATTAACGTCGTTGACAAAAGAAAAGGAGCTGACTAGAGTGCGATCACCACTGGCTGCTACACTTCCATTTACAGTAATATCTAAAAGGTTTATTTTACACAAAAAATTTGTGGTCTATTTAAAAATAAGTGATTTTACTAACTTCTCAGTTCGTTCAACAGCTGTTGAATAAGGCCTACGTTTGTCTGAACAGAGCTATCGTCAACGCCTCCACCCCATGCCTCCATCGCGGCGGTTCCATTTGATCCCATAGCGCTATTAGCAACCAGAGAAGTATTGCCTTTCATGCCGTTCATTTCTCCATGGGCTGTGCCACTGGATAGCGCTAATCCTTCTGTAAACAGAGAGTAGTTAAAACGAATACTTTTGAGGTGACATTATGGGTGAATAGTTTAGCAGACCGAGGGCGGAGAGGATGAAAAAGAGCCCCTCTCTGCTTTCCGAGATCGGGTTACGATCTTTTTAACAGTCATCTATGTAAGCCATAAATAAAAAGGCAAGCGACTCTTCTTCACTCATAGATAATTAAAATTCTTCAAAACTTCTGTTAATTTGCAAAAATCTCTTTTTCGGGAAGACTAACAAAAGTTGAGAAGCATATTTAAAAACTTTCTGAGTATGTGACGATCGCCACGCATCTTCATTCAAAAAAATCTTTCTCTTCTCCTTTCCCGTTCCCAAAAATTCTCGGACGTCCACTGATAGTTACGGATTAAGGAATTTAGGTGAGACTTTGAAGGGGATGGTAGGTTATGTCACAAGGTTGTGAGAAATTAGAAAATAACCAACCGTAATTGTTCGACATACTGGCATCACCCGCGATGGTAAGACTTGAATTTTTATAGGTTGAAGCTGCTTGCGCCTGACCATACCGTAATTTCTGATAGGCTAAAGGCTTTAAGAACATACTGAGTAATCCCGTCTGGACCATATTTTGTGTCCACATTCATGGAAGCGTTTGAGTTTTCTGTTCCATTTCCAAACACAAAACCGTTACCAAGCGCAACTATAACCAGAAACAATTCAAAGCACATCCATTTGCAAAAACTTCCCTTTATTCCAACTGCAAGCTACAAAGGAACATATCCGTGTAGAAAACACAGCAATTCAATACAAAAAATCTCAATCTTTTGTTCTAGTATGGATTTAAAACTCCCAATACTGTGCTATTCCCATCACTTCTTTACAGTGAGAACAAAATATAAAAAAGGTGAATGCTCCTACTTGTTTGCCCATGGCTGTCCTGAATGTTGAGACCATTCTGCACCGTCATGTGCTTATTAGTCCCTTCAGCTGTCGCATTCGTTCCCACCTTGCCTTCGTTACCAGTCTGCAAAGTAAAATTCATTCAAAATTCTTGAAAAAAACTTTTTCCTACATTGGTTGTGAATCATTGCTGCTACACTAGAATTTTTAAATATAAAGATCACTAGGGTTTCGCAAAAAACGTGGAAGATCTCTTCTGCTGTGCTGACAGAAGCAACCCGGCACAGGTACGCAGCAGCCCAGCCATCGGCGCTGTGTCGTGATATCGTTTTTGAAATCATACTATACAGAATCATTTCTGTAGTGTGTATTTCGCAATCCCAACCAAGAAGCGACACCTGTCCACCGCGATGAACGGGAAACGGGCGAGTTGCGAGCGGGAAGAACGCGACTTGTCGCGCTGAGGACCGTGACGTGGTCGCAAGATCGCGTCGGCGACTCGCTCTTCTGAGCGGTTTTATACGAGTAGTGCAAAATAAAAAATGAAGAAAAGGGATATTTTGAGCATTTTTGCTTAGAATTTGGTAAACTATACCATTCACGCATTTGTAGTTTATTTGTAATATGTTCCGAGAATGAGTTCAACTAAGTGCTAAGAAAATTCTTTTTTTATTATTAATTATGCACTCTTATAGAAATGATTCTAATAGTATCAAATATTTTTGAGAATTAATTGGAAAATTAGTTTAGTTTTTTCAATTGATTTTCAAAAGTGATCGATATTATTGAAGTTAATACCAATAGCATCGAATATTTTTCAAAAATTTCCAGTGACACACTTTGCTTCATAAAAATGTTAATATTCCAGAGACTAGACGAGTAAGTCAGCATCCCTACATTAGTTCACACCAGAAGCAAAGTCAAGTCAATTCGTTATGAGATTGCGAGTGTGCTTGTGCATTAAGCGCTGTTTGGCACAATTATCGCGACCCCCTACCACATTTGCCTTTAACCCAGTGCTGTGTTCAGATTGCCAACTCGGCTGACATACGCAGCAGGCTCACCTGGGTCAACCTTACCCAGGTTAGTCAGTAGCTTTGCGCAGAGGCGATAACGTGACCAATGAGGCTCTGCCGAGGTGCGTTTATTGCTGGTTGAAAACTTATACCAATTGCCCGCGATGGCGCCTGAACAAGGCTGTCATACGCAATTTTTGAACGCCCGAGGGGGCAGCAAGATCGAAGAGTAGTAAGTATGGGGCTATGTGCATCACAAATATGGAAATTAGATTGCAAATTAACTACCTCTGAATGCCTCTTGATGTAAGCTCTCCCATAGTTAAACGCAAAAACTTTGCATAAATGTTGCCTAGCCAGGGCTCGGTCAAGCTGGATAGCGTTTTTTGAACAAAATGCAAAGAATATATCGTTTTTGTGACCTAATAGAGACAAAAATTGAGTTTTTAGGGTTTAGGAATTAGGGTCAAAGTGGACTTTGCACGAAATTTTCAAGATCAAAGAGCACTTCATTTTGACATTTCCCTGGTGCCAGCTCGTGCAGAGCCCTGCTTATCTCATTGAGGCAGATCTTGTGATGTGTACACCATGCTCTCGATATTCCGTTTGCAGTGCTCATAAAAAATATTTAGTGGTCTTTTCGCGAAATATAACGCAGGTCGCATTACACATTATGAAAAATCAGTAAACGCCTATATCCAGTGAAATTTCTGTAGATTATAAACGCTAAGAAGTAGCTGTTGATTTTTTTCCGGAAGAAATAGAAGGGCTGGAAATCTGAAAAAAATCTACAATATGAAGTTGTTTTGCTAAGCAGATGTAAATTCGTGAGCAGCAAGTGAGATAAATTTTATGGCAATTTTTTCAAGGGGTCCGCTTTCGAAATAAAGGTTTCAGGTTCTCTGTGATGGTATGCATAATGTGTAATGCCATTTCGAATTCACGGCATTCCTTAGTTAGTGTGGGGAGGGGAGTAGACATCACACGACGAGGAACAGAAAAAAGATTGATTTCTGAATTCGCTGTGATTTTTCATGCGAAGCTCAGTTAAGATTTGAAGCGGGTCCGCCTCGCTATCTCAGAATCCGCACCATTATATGAACAGACAGAATTTCTATATCCCAATAGTTTTTTCTTTAATTGCTGCTTTTGTAACCAGATATACTGCATTATCAACTAACAATTTATTACTACAAAATCAATTGACTCGACGCAGATGCCGACGATGAGCCTTTTGAGTTTGACGATGCTTTCTGTGTGTTTTCTAGAGTTTGCTGACCTGAAATGATGTTCATCACATGTTACGTACAGAAGTGAATAGAATCTGCAATTAGCTTACCATTAACGTCGTTGACAAAAGAAAAGGAGCTGACTAGAGTGCGATCACCACTGGCTGCTACACTTCCATTTACAGTAATATCTAAAAGGTTTATTTTACACAAAAAATTTGTGGTCTATTTAAAAATAAGTGATTTTACTAACTTCTCAGTTCGTTCAACAGCTGTTGAATAAGGCCTACGTTTGTCTGAACAGAGCTATCGTCAACGCCTCCACCCCATGCCTCCATCGCGGCGGTTCCATTTGATCCCATAGCGCTATTAGCAACCAGAGAAGTATTGCCTTTCATGCCGTTCATTTCTCCATGGGCTGTGCCACTGGATAGCGCTAATCCTTCTGTAAACAGAGAGTAGTTAAAACGAATACTTTTGAGGTGACATTATGGGTGAATAGTTTAGCAGACCGAGGGCGGAGAGGATGAAAAAGAGCCCCTCTCTGCTTTCCGAGATCGGGTTACGATCTTTTTAACAGTCATCTATGTAAGCCATAAATAAAAAGGCAAGCGACTCTTCTTCACTCATAGATAATTAAAATTCTTCAAAACTTCTGTTAATTTGCAAAAATCTCTTTTTCGGGAAGACTAACAAAAGTTGAGAAGCATATTTAAAAACTTTCTGAGTATGTGACGATCGCCACGCATCTTCATTCAAAAAAATCTTTCTCTTCTCCTTTCCCGTTCCCAAAAATTCTCGGACGTCCACTGATAGTTACGGATTAAGGAATTTAGGTGAGACTTTGAAGGGGATGGTAGGTTATGTCACAAGGTTGTGAGAAATTAGAAAATAACCAACCGTAATTGTTCGACATACTGGCATCACCCGCGATGGTAAGACTTGAATTTTTATAGGTTGAAGCTGCTTGCGCCTGACCATACCGTAATTTCTGATAGGCTAAAGGCTTTAAGAACATACTGAGTAATCCCGTCTGGACCATATTTTGTGTCCACATTCATGGAAGCGTTTGAAAGCCAGTTCCATTTCCAAACACAAAACCGTTACCAAGCGCAATTATAACCATAAACAATTCAAAGCACATCCATTTGCAAAAGCTTCCCTTCATTCCAACTGAGCTACAAAAGAACCTATCCGTGTAAAAAATCCAGCAATTCAATACAAAAAATCTCATTCTTTTGTTCTAGTATGGAAAACTCTCAATATTGTGCTATTCCCATCACTTCTTTGCAGTGAGAACAAAATATAAAAAAGGTGAATGCTCCCACTTATTTGTCCATGGCTGGCGTGAATGTTTAGACCATTCTGCACCGTCATGTGCTTGTTAGTCCCTTCAGCTGTAGCATTCGTTCCTACCTTGCCTTCGTTACCGGTCTGCAAAGTAAAACGAAAACCTCTGGATTCATTTTTCCTACATCTGGTTATATATTAATGGTGTTACCTAACAATCTGAGAAGAAAAGTAACGCAAAAAGATTACCAGAGATTTTTTTCGAAAAAAAAAACATGAAGAAAGTTATGTTGCGCTGTGCTAACAAAAGCAACCTGGCACAGGTACGCCACAACCCAACCATCGGTGCCGTGTCGTGGCATTTTCGATGAAATCATACTATACAGAATCATTTCTGTAGTGTGTATTTCGCAATCCCAACCAAAAAGCGACACCTGTCCACCGCGATGAACGGGAAACCGGCGAGTTGCGAGCGGGAAGAACGCGACTTGTCGCGCTGAGGACCGTGACGTGGTCGCAAGATCGCGTCGGCGACTCGCTCTTCTGAGCGGTTCTATACGAAGTGCAAAAATTTACGCGGCTATGTATGATCGCTAGATTCGGTGAGTTTGCGACCATTTCGCGCGGTAGGTCATTAAGTCAGCACAGGTCACCTACCGACCTAAGTCTAGCTGAACAATCTGACAATGGGACAAAACTTTAAATTTCAAACTCACCCATGGGAATGACCCTCGGTAATCGATGTTAAAATGCTAATATCTAGATTTTTTCCGACTATTAAGTACTGCTCGTGGTAAGCTTAATGCCAAAATTAATCTAATGGTGGTATCCTCGAGTGCTACCGAGTGACCACCGTAATATCGCTCATAAAATAGCGCAGCCTCGTGCTACACTTGCCTTTAACCGCTGTCGTGGTGAGATTGCCAAGTTGGATGGTATACGCAACAGGCTCACCTAGGACAACCTTACCTAGGTTAATTGATAGCTTTGCGCAGAGGCGATAACGTGACCAATGAGGCTCTGCCGAGGTGCGTTTATTGCTGGTTGAAAACTTATACCAATTGCCCGCGATGGCGCCTGAACAAGGCTGTCATACGCAATTTTTGAACGCCCCTAGGGGGCAGCAAGATCGAAGAGCAGAAAATATGGGGCTATGTGCATCACAAACATGGAAATTAGATTGGAATTAACTACCTCTGAATGCCTCTTGATGTAAGCTCTCCCACAGTTAAACGCAAAAACTTTGCATAAATATTGCCTAGCCAGGGCTCGGTCAAGCTGGATATCGTTTTTGGGACAAAATGCAAAGGAAATATCGTTTTTGTGGCCGAAAAGAGACAAAAATTGAGAGGTTTTTTTTTTCGGATGACGTTTCGTTTTTTAGGGTTTTTACGTTTAGGATTTAGGGTCAAAGGGGACTTCGTACGAAATTTTCCGGATCAAAGAAGACTCCGTTTTGAAATTTCCCTGGTGCCAACTCGTGCAGAACCCTGCTTAACTCATTAAGGCAAATCTTGTGATGTACACCATGCCCTCGATATTCCTTTTTCAGTGCTCATAAAAATACTTTGTGGACGTCTTTTCGCGAAATATAACGCAGGTCGCATCACACATTTAAAAAAATCAGTAAACGCCTATATCCCTCGAAATTTCTGTAGATTATAAACGCTAAGAAGTAGCTGTAGATTTCTTTGCAGAAGAAATAGAAGGGCTGGAAATCTGGAAAAAAATCTACAACATGAAGCTGTTTTGCTAAGCAGATGTAAATTCGTGACCAGCAAGTGAGATAAATTTTATCGCAATTATTTCAAGGGGTCCGCTTTCGAAATAAAGGTTTCAGGCTCTCTGTGATGGTATGCAGAATGTGAATGCCATTTCGAATTCACGGCATTCCTTAGTTAGTGTGGGGAGGGGAGTAGACATCACGACGAGGAACAGAAAAAAGAGTGATTTCCGAATTCGCTGTGATTTTTAATGCAAGATTTGGAGCGGGTCCGCCTCGCTATCTCAGAATCCGCACTATTGCATAAACAGAATTTTTATATCCCAATAGTTTTTCTTTAATTGCTGCTGTTGTAACCAGATGTATTGATTATCAACTTACAATTTATTACTACAAAATCAATTGACTCGACGCAGATGCCGACGATGAGCCTTTTGAGTTTGACGATGCTTTCTGTGTGTCTTCCAGAGTTTGTTGACCTAGAATGATGTTCATTATATAATACATACAAGAAAAATGTAGGTTGCAATCAGCGTACCATTAATGTCGTTGACAAAAGAAAAGGAGCTGACTTGAGTACGATCACCACTCGCTGCTACACCTCCATTGATAGTGATATCTGGAAGGTTTATTTTACACAAAAATCTGTGAAGATATATCTCAAAAAATAAGTAATTTCACCAACTTCTCAATTCGTTCAACAGCTGCTGGATCAGGTTCACATTTGTCCGAACAGAGCTATCGCCAACGCCTCCACCCCATGCCTCCATCGCGGCCTCCATCCCGTTTGATCCAGTAGCGCTATTAGCAGTCAAAGAAGTATTGCCCTTCATGCCATTCATTTCACCGTGAGCTATACCACTGGCCAGAGCTAATCCTTCTGTAAGTAAAGAGAATCAAACGAATGATTTGAGGTGGTTATTGCTCGATTTTCGCGGATTATTAATTTTGGGCGAGACTTTCAATGTACATTGGTCAGTGGAGTTTTTCTTAGAGAGAAGTACTGATTTAGCAAATCTAGAGTCTCATAGGAGTCAGGTACTATACACCAGTGACAGACCGAGGAGGCGGTGGAAGGGAGAAGAGTGCCCGAGAATGAGGCGCGAAATTTTTGAGAGCTACTTGCATGAGTTACAAAATGTGCAAAGGGTTGTGTTTACTTGCAAATACTTTTTAAAAATTCTAAATTCTTCGAAAATTCAAAGACCTTGTAAATAAGATTTTTTTTGGAGCCGTAACCGCCGCAAGACCATTTTGTTCATTTCTGGCTCAGTAACTTTTTTAAGCTAACGTATTGCACTTTCACTCTACATTATATGTCATCCCTTCCCTCCACCCCGAAAGGATATCATGGGACACAAACTGGTGTGTACGTATGATTCAGTGATGGTTAAAAAAAACTTTCAGGGAGGGGAGGGGGACGAGGACGACAGAAAAACTTTTCGAATGAGGGGCATAGAGTTAGCCACTCCCTCACAGAGTTTAAAAAAAACTTTGATTTTTTGTCGATTAATAACTCTGAACGAGCTTGACCGCAGCCCTCCCCTCCTTTTTTTCACAAATCTGATTCGAATTCTTGAATTTTTTTGATAAATTGTTCAAGGTTTCTCACAAAATTTTTCATTTAATGGTAGACGCCTTCAACAATTTTGCATCCCATTCACGGGGAAGGCTTAATATATGTTTATAATCGCAAATTTGATGCAACTTAAACAATAAGTAACTTACCGTAACTGCTGGAGATACTAGCATCACCTCCGATAGTCAGACTTGAGTTTTTATCGGTTGAAACTGCTTCTCCTTCACCATCGACTGCTACTCTGATTTACGGTGATTTATTCAGGTAACCATGAATTCTTTCGAAATAAAACTTCGTGGTTGGTTAAATAAAACGGCTATATAAACTTACTGTGCAATCCCATTTGGGCTATGTTTTGTATCCACATTCATGGAAGCGTTTGAGTTCTCTGTTCCATTTCCAAATACGAAACCGTTACCAAGCGCAACTGAAATCATAGATTATCTGGATTATCACGTACATTTTCAAAAAATTTCCTATAGTACAACTGCAAGCTCCTAAAGAACATGACTAGAAAAATACGACAATCCCAAAGTGCAAAAATCTCAAGCCTTGAGGCTACACAATGTGTGGATTTTAACACTCCCAAATATTACTGGTACCATTTCCAATTTTTTTTGCAGCCGAAACAAGATAATAAACAACTAAAAATTTCCGCACTTGTTTGCCCATGGCTGTCCTGAATTTGAGACCATTCTGCACCGTCATGTGCTTGTTGGTCCCTTCAGCTGTAGCATTCGTTCCTACCTTGCCTTCGTTACCGGTCTGCAAAGTAAAATTCATTGAAAATTCTTGGAAAAAATTCTCCTAGAAGCGGTTGTAAGTCATTGCTGCCACATTAGAATTTGTAAATATGAAATCACAGCAAAAACCATTACTACGGTTTTAAAAGTGGAAAGCCTCTTGTGCTGTGCTGACAGAAGCAACCCTGCACAGGTACGTCGCGAGCTAGCCATCGGCGCTGTGTCGCGACATCGTCGTTGAAATCATACTATACAGAATCATTTCTGTAGTGTGTATTTCGCAATCCCAACCAAAAAGCGACACCTGTCCACCGCGATGAACGGGAAACGGGCGAGCTGCGAGCGGGAAGAACGCGACTTGTCGCGCTGAGGACCGTGACGTGGTCGCAAGATCGCGTCGGCGACTCGCTCTTCTGAGCGGTTTTATACAAAGTGCAAAAAAAAGAGGACAGTGAGCATGTGAAACTTGCCACCCCTCCTCTCTCCTACCTTGTTAATAAATCTGGATCCGCATCATTTCACATTTTTCCGATCCCTTCTCCACACTTCATACACCAATTTGTTTTTGTATGTCTTTTGCCAAAGCAAGTTGAACCAGTACTGATCAAAGGCGAAGACCTGTCGTAACATTGGTCAGTGTAGGTCACCTGCCAATCTGTTTCTCGCTGATTCCATAGACAGCACCCCAATCGTGATCTCTCATGAGAATGAGGAAATGTGTTCGAAATTTTGATAATTGGTGGTTACTTCTCGACTGATTTTCGTAAAATGCTGGTATCTAAATTTTTATCACGCAAATGAATTTCTGCAGCTGGTAAACTTATGCTAAAAATATTCAAAAGAGCATTCACGAATGTTCCGCATCGCTTCGTTGGCTATATAGCGCAATTATCGCAGCCTCGTGCTACACTTGCCTTTAACCGCTGTCGTGGTGAGATTGCCAAGTTGGATGGTATACGCAACAGGCTCACCTAGGACAACCTTACCTAGGTTAATTGATAGCTTTGCGCAGAGGCGATAACGTGACCAATGAGGCTCTGCCGAGGTGCGTTTATTGCTGGTTGAAAACTTATACCAATTGCCCGCGATGGCGCCTGAACAAGGCTGTCATACGCAATTTTTGAACGCCCCTAGGGGGCAGCAAGATCGAAGAGCAGAAAATATGGGGCTATGTGCATCACAAACATGGAAATTAGATTGGAATTAACTACCTCTGAATGCCTCTTGATGTAAGCTCTCCCACAGTTAAACGCAAAAACTTTGCATAAATATTGCCTAGCCAGGGCTCGGTCAAGCTGGATATCGTTTTTGGGACAAAATGCAAAGGAAATATCGTTTTTGTGGCCGAAAAGAGACAAAAATTGAGAGGTTTTTTTTTCGGATGACGTTTCGTTTTTTAGGGTTTTTACGTTTAGGATTTAGGGTCAAAGGGGACTTCGTACGAAATTTTCCGGATCAAAGAAGACTCCGTTTTGAAATTTCCCTGGTGCCAACTCGTGCAGAACCCTGCTTAACTCATTAAGGCAAATCTTGTGATGTACACCATGCCCTCGATATTCCTTTTTCAGTGCTCATAAAAATACTTTGTGGACGTCTTTTCGCGAAATATAACGCAGGTCGCATCACACATTTGAAAAAATCAGTAAACGCCTATATCCAGTGTGAATTTTCTGTAGATTATAAACGCTAAGAAGAAGCTGTAGATTTCTTTGCAGAAGAAAGAGAAGAGCTGGAAATCTGGAAAAAAATCTACAATATGAAGCTGTTTTGCTAAGCAGATTTAAATTCGTGACCAGCAAGTGAGATAAATTTTTTGGCAATTTTTTCAGGGGGTCCGCTTTCGAAATAAAGGTTTCAGGTCTCTGAGATGGTATGCAGAATAATGCCATTTCAAAGTCACGGCATTCCTTAGTTAGTGTGGGGAGGGGAGCAGACATTACGACAAGGAACAGAAAAAAGATTGATTTCTGAATTTGCTGTGATTTTTCATGCGAAGCTCAGTTGAGATTTGGAGCAGGTCCGCCTCGCTATCTCAGAATCCGCAACATTACATGAACAGAATTTCTATATCCCAATAGTTTTTTTTAAATTGCTGCTGTTGTAACCAGATATATTGCATTATCAACTAACAATTTATTACTACAAAATCAATTGACTCGATGCAGATGCCGACGATGAGCCTTTTGAGTTTGACGATGCCTTCTGTGTGTTTTCTAAAGTTTGCTGACCTGAAATGATGTTCATCACATGTTACGTACAGAAATGAATAGAATCTGCAATTAGCTTACCATTAACGTCGTTTACAAAAGAAAACGAGCTGACTTGAGTGCGATCACCACTGGCTGCTACACCACCATCTACAGTAATATCTAGAAAGTTTATTTTAACAGAAAAACTGTAAAAATATATCTTGAAAATAAGTGATTTTACCAACTTCTCAATTCGTTCAACAGCTGCTGGATAAGGCCTACATTTGTCTGAACAGAGCTATCACCGACTCCACCACCCCAAGCCTCCATCGCGGCAGTTCCGTTTGATCCCGTGGCGCTGTTAGCAGTTAGGGATGTATTGCCCTTCATGCCATTCATTTCACCATGGGCTATGCCACTGGATAGTGCTAATCCTTCTGTAAATAGAGGGTATTTAATGTAAGAAATAATTTTTTGAGGTGAATATGGATAGATAGCTTCGCGGACCGAGGGCAGGGGGAGGGAGGAGGAAAAAAGAAGCTCCTCAAACGAGGGTCGCGAAAAATGGAAGTCATTTTCTTTACTTATGATAAAATAATTTCCTGAACCTTTCAGAATTTCAATTAGCTTCACAGAAAATTTTTTCAAGGAGGCCAGAAGTTTTGCAAGGCATCCCGAAAAACCTTTTGAGTATGTGACTATCGTCATGCACCTCCATTCGAAATGAATTTTTGTTGCCCTTTCCACACTCCGAAAACTCTCGAAATTCAGACTGCCACTGGTAGTCACGGAATAAGAATTTTAGATGAGACTTCCGCGCGTGAAAAGTTGGAAATTGGAATTTTTCGTAAGAAGGTGTACTGTCACAAAAAACTAGTTTTTAACTAGTAGGAGAAAGGTATACTGTAGTTTAGTGATGGTTCGAAATTATGGGAAAGGACAAGTAATGGAAGCGAGAAGATAGGACTTTGACGAGGGGCATGGTGCTAGTCACCCTCTCAGAAAAAAAATTTTTTGTTTGTCTTTTGTTGGTTAATGTCTCCTACACAATTTTATACCTATGTAGACCACCTCTAAGATTTTTGCGCTCATTCAAAGGGGGTGGTAAGTTGTAACACAAGATTGTGAGAAATTAGAAAATAACTTACCGTAATTATTCGAGATACTGGCATCACGATGGTCAGACTTGAGTTTTTACCAGTTGATACTGCTTGTCCCTCACCATCGACGGCCACCCTAAATTACGTAGATAACCTGTTCAGGAATAGACTTTGTGGTTGTTTGAATAAAAGTTTTAGGAACATACTGAGCAATCCCATCTGGACCATATTTTGTGTCCACATTCATGGAAGCGTTTGAGTTCTCCGTTCCATTTCCAAAAAGGAAACCATTACCAAGCGCAACTGAAATCATAGATTATCGAACTCGTTCATTGTCAAATAGTTCCTTCTAGTACAACTGCAAGCTCCCAAAGAACATAACTAGAAAAATACGACAGTCCATTACAAAATACAAGAATCTCAAGTCTGGATTTTAAGACGCCCGAATATTATATACTGCTACCATTTCTAAACTTTTTTGCAGCGGAAATAAGATTATAAACAACTGAAAATGGCCGTACTTGTTTGTCCATGGCTATCTTGAATATTCAGACCATTCTGCACCGTCATGTGCTTGTTGGTCCCTTCAGCTGTAGCATTCGTTCCTACTTTGCCCTCGTTACCGGTCTGCAAAGTAGATATCACTAAAAATTCTTGAAAAAAATTCTTCCTACAAGTGGTTGTGAATCATTGCTGCTACACCAGAATTTGTACATAAATAAAGGGCGGCGTGGCAGGAGTTCCCAAAGCCTCGCCAACTTTTCTTGCAGGAGTGATTAGCACCTTCAGAGAAACCTGGAAGGGACATCACACCTTCACAGGTCGAGGAATGGCTCCGCCTTTTTCTCCGCCGCCTAAGTGCGGTCAATCTAAATTGTGCAATAAAAAGTGAGGATCAATTGAATCAAGCTGATTCGAGAAATTTCGTTGATTGAATTCAATATTTTTAATTGTTATATTATGCCGTAACAGGTTGTTATAGATGATATACTTTATTACCCGACGTTTCGGCAAGACGCCGTCTTCAGGGGCTGAAAAGGCGTCAATCACATTGATGCACACGATCTCTGCCGCCAAATATCTCCACCGACTTGCCACTCGATTCGTTTTGAGTGAAGGCAGGGAGTTTGAGGGCGAAGGTTCACCCACCAAGTATATCACCGATGTTGTAGCTAACAGCCGCTTCGGGTGTGCTTGGTCGAGTGCGGTGTCAAATGGGCACCCAAGCTACTGCGGGGCTGTTCAAGTAGGGCACACAATCTTATAGTTTACAGTATGACAGATACGGCATTAAGTCACTCGTGATAGATAATTTCTCATTCTTGCTGTTTAGTTTGGGCTCACGAGTAAGAATGTAGGAGCCTTCCAAGGCTTTTCGTGCGGAAATTTGGTGTTCGTGGGCCAGGATTTTGCACCTGATATCGTAATCAACTCCGTTATGTTCGGTCATTCTATGCTTTCCCAGTGGACTAATCATGCTTTGCCTCTTTTTGCTAGCTAGATGTTCACTGATACGCACACCTAGTGGCCGGCCGGTTTCACCGATGTATATGGCAGAGCACTTCGTACACTCAGTTTGATATACAACACCAGATTTCGCACAATCCCCGAATTGTCCGTATGGGCACACAACGCAGTTTCTTGTTATACAAGCTTTATCATACAATCTATTGCGTATTAACAGCTTTCTGATGTTGTCTCGCGGAATGTTAACTAAGACGACATCTTTCTCAAGCTGTGCTTGTATCAGACACCGTTTGACTGCAGCAGTGACCCTTTCGGAGATAAAAGGCAAGCATAATGGTACTCTATTGGTAGCTTGTTCGCCTGTCTTTACAGTGTTTCTTTTCGAACATCCGTGTCGCATAACATATCCATTCGAGGCTAATATTTCGGCTGCCAGCTTCAGTGATTCCTGCCTTTCCTCATTACCGCTGCAGATTTGCGTCGCTGTTTTGATCATATTACGTACGACGGCTCGTTTGACAGCTTCTGGATGTGCGGACTTTGCGTGCAAGATAATGTTCTTATTACTGTCTTTACGAAACCACTTCACGTGCACCGTTCCATTGCTCAACATCAGTTGTGTGTTCAAAAACGGTAGCCAACCGTCGCGCGGTTCTTCCCTCGTAAACCTTATGTATCTCGACTGTTGATTTAGTATTCGGAAACATTCGTCCATTTCGGACTTTGTCGACGTGACTATGCAACAGTCGTCGATATAACGACGATACATAAGCGGGGCTCGGGATAGCACCGGTTCTTCTACTTTGCTCATGAAACATATTGCTAACACGGGTGCTAATCGCTGGCCCATTGCCATTCCTCTTGTTTGTGCGTAATATTTTCCCGACCACTTGAATATATTGCAATCTAAGCATTCCTTGGTGAGAGTCATGATGCGATATGTTTATACATATGTTAGCAATATGTTTCATGAGCAAAGTAGAAGAACCGGTGCTATCCCGAGCCCCGCTTATGTATCGTCGTTATATCGACGACTGTTGCATAGTCACGTCGACAAAGTCCGAAATGGACGAATGTTTCCGAATACTAAATCAACAGTCGAGATACATAAGGTTTACGAGGGAAGAACCGCGCGACGGTTGGCTACCGTTTTTGAACACAAAACTGATGTTGAGCAATGGAACGGTGCACGTGAAGTGGTTTCGTAAAGACAGTAATAAGAACATTATCTTGCACGCAAAGTCCGCACATCCAGAAGCTGTCAAACGAGCCGTCGTACGTAATATGATCAAAACAGCGACGCAAATCTGCAGCGGTAATGAGGAAAGGCAGGAATCACTGAAGCTGGCAGCCGAAATATTAGCCTCGAATGGATATGTTATGCGACACGGATGTTCGAAAAGAAACACTGTAAAGACAGGCGAACAAGCTACCAATAGAGTACCATTATGCTTGCCTTTTATCTCCGAAAGGGTCACTGCTGCAGTCAAACGGTGTCTGATACAAGCACAGCTTGAGAAAGATGTCGTCTTAGTTAACATTCCGCGAGACAACATCAGAAAGCTGTTAATACGCAATAGATTGTATGATAAAGCTTGTATAACAAGAAACTGCGTTGTGTGCCCATACGGACAATTCGGGGATTGTGCGAAATCTGGTGTTGTATATCAAATTGAGTGTACGAAGTGCTCTGCCATATACATCGGTGAAACCGGCCGGCCACCAGGTGTGCGTATCAGTGAACATCTAGCTAGCAAAAAGAGGCAAAGCATGATTAGTCCACTGGGAAAGCATAGAATGACCGAACATAACGGAGTTGATTACGATATCAGGTGCAAAATCCTGGCCCACGAACACCAAATTTCCGCACGAAAAGCCTTGGAAGGCTCCTACATTCTTACTCGTGAGCCCAAACTAAACAGCAAGAATGAGAAATTATCTATCACGAGTGACTTAATGCCGTATCTGTCATACTGTAAACTATAAGATTGTGTGCCCTACTTAAACAGCCCCGCAGTAGCTTGGGTGCCCATTTGACACCGCACTCGACCAAGCACACCCGAAGCGGCTGTTAGCTACAACATCGGTGATATACTTGGTGGGTGAACCTTCGCCCTCAAACTCCCTGCCTTCACTCAAAACGAATCGAGTGGCAAGTCGGTGGAGATATTTGGCGGCAGAGATCGTGTGCATCAATGTGATTGACGCCTTTTCAGCCCCTGAAGACGGCGTCTTGCCGAAACGTCGGGTAATAAAGTATATCATCTATAACAACCTGTTACGGCATAATATAACAATTGAAATTATTCATCCTCAAGAACATGCCAAGGTTCAAAGATAAGAGGACTCACAACATAATCACAAATGTACCGCCGAATCTGTCCTTATTAGTGCGCGAGGCCTTAGCGCTTCGCCAGAAGGTCGTCGTCACCCGTCAGCAGCTAATCTTCCTCAAGCGCTGCAAGTCGACCGGAACGCTCCCACGATTCATTACAAATAAAAAGTTGGGATCAACATGCGGCTTATCAGAGAACCATCAAAGAATACGTAAACTCTACATGAACATCCTTATGATGGTGATCAAGGAGAAACAACGCGTGTTGTACTCGAGTCTATTGAAGTGTGGAGCTAAAGAACATTCATGTCGACGATTTTTAAGTGATACTGATTGGAGGAGGATTGAAAATGCTTCAAAACAGATCTGCGACTCTTTGCGGTCTAGTGTCAAGGCCGCACTTTGTCGAAAATTCGAAAGACTCTTGAGTGAAGGTAGGTCGAGTTTGGTGAGAGTTGAGGGGAATCTACCAAATCACCATAATGACAGTACGGGTACTCAGTCCACCACGAACGAAATAACGGCTAGAGTCACAGTGTTAGGTAATGCTCAGATTTCACGCAATGCTATCGAATTGCTGAGCCTAGGACCTTCTTTCGCACCTGCACAGAATATAAGCGCAACAACATACCGCAGCGTGTTGGGGTCATTACAACGATTAAGAGACCAACTCAGGATCAAACTGAAGCATGGCGATCAACCGCAACCCAGCGATGCTTTGAGTAGACGAGTATTACCGCCAGTTCCGTTTTCATCCTCGTTCTACAAAGAGCCTGAACCATATGCTGCCGCAGACATTAAGTTTCGAATACTCTCATTGAGCATCTTAAAAATTCTCAATGAAAACGAAACTATAAGAAAGTATAACTTGACACGCGCACAGCAAGAAGGCCTCAGAGAGTTGAGAGAGCTGACTAACAATGGCACCATTCGCCTATCAGTCAGTGATAAAAGCGGGGAGTTCGTTGTCATGCCACAAAACCTGGACCGCGAAATAACCGAAATGCATCTGTCAGATAAAACTGTCTACCACCCTGCAACCGAAAAAGAGTTTATCTCACAGTGTAAGCGGTTAAACCACATATGGACAATAGTAGGTAGAGAAGCTGGTCTGCATGAAAAATTCCTTAGTAGGCTCAAGATAGAAACACCTACTTGCCCCGTTTTCTATAGCTTAATCAAGACGCACAAACTGTCTACATCCGAAATGCGCTCCACTTCCGCTGAATCATACAAGATACGGCCCATCGTCAGTTGCGTAAACGGGCCAACCGATCGCATATCGTGGTTCCTCAACAAAATCATCAGCCAGCTCTTGAACAAGATTCCCGCCCACCTGAGCAATACTAATCACTTCCTTGAGTGTTTGCGTCAAACGAAGTTCACGTCCGATTGCGCAATTGAGTCATTTGATGTCGTGTCATTATACACTAATGTATCTAATGACAAAGCCTTACAAGCTTTATTTGAGATGCTAGAGTTACATTGTAAAAATATGTTGACGTATGGTCTCAGTAAAAGCCGCATCATGACTCTCACCAAGGAATGCTTAGATTGCAATATATTCAAGTGGTCGGGAAAATATTACGCACAAACAAGAGGACTGGCAATGGGCCAGCGATTAGCACCCGTGTTAGCAATATGTTTCATGAGCAAAGTAGAAGAACCGGTGCTATCCCGAGCCCCGCTTATGTATCGTCGTTATATCGACGACTGTTGCATAGTCACGTCGACAAAGTCCGAAATGGACGAATGTTTCCGAATACTAAATCAACAGTCGAGATACATAAGGTTTACGAGGGAAGAACCGCGCGACGGTTGGCTACCGTTTTTGAACACACAACTGATGTTGAGCAATGGAACGGTGCACGTGAAGTGGTTTCGTAAAGACAGTAATAAGAACATTATCTTGCACGCAAAGTCCGCACATCCAGAAGCTGTCAAACGAGCCGTCGTACGTAATATGATCAAAACAGCGACGCAAATCTGCAGCGGTAATGAGGAAAGGCAGGAATCACTGAAGCTGGCAGCCGAAATATTAGCCTCGAATGGATATGTTATGCGACACGGATGTTCGAAAAGAAACACTGTAAAGACAGGCGAACAAGCTACCAATAGAGTACCATTATGCTTGCCTTTTATCTCCGAAAGGGTCACTGCTGCAGTCAAACGGTGTCTGATACAAGCACAGCTTGAGAAAGATGTCGTCTTAGTTAACATTCCGCGAGACAACATCAGAAAGCTGTTAATACGCAATAGATTGTATGATAAAGCTTGTATAACAAGAAACTGCGTTGTGTGCCCATACGGACAATTCGGGGATTGTGCGAAATCTGGTGTTGTATATCAAATTGAGTGTACGAAGTGCTCTGCCATATACATCGGTGAAACCGGCCGGCCACTAGGTGTGCGTATCAGTGAACATCTAGCTAGCAAAAAGAGGCAAAGCATGATTAGTCCACTGGGAAAGCATAGAATGACCGAACATAACGGAGTTGATTACGATATCAGGTGCAAAATCCTGGCCCACGAACATCAAATTTCCGCACGAAAAGCCTTGGAAGGCTCCTACATTCTTACTCGTGAGCCCAAACTAAACAGCAAGAATGAGAAATTATCTATCACGAGTGACTTAATGCCGTATCTGTCATACTGTAAACTATAAGATTGTGTGCCCTACTTAAACAGCCCCGCAGTAGCTTGGGTGCCCATTTGACACCGCACTCGACCAAGCACACCCGAAGCGGCTGTTAGCTACAACATCGGTGATATACTTGGTGGGTGAACCTTCGCCCTCAAACTCCCTGCCTTCACTCAAAACGAATCGAGTGGCAAGTCGGTGGAGATATTTGGCGGCAGAGATCGTGTGCATCAATGTGATTGACGCCTTTTCAGCCCCTGAAGACGGCGTCTTGCCGAAACGTCGGGTAATAAAGTATATCATCTATAACAACCTGTTACGGCATAATATAACAATTGAAATTATTCATCCTCAAGAACATGCCAAGGTTCAAAGATAAGAGGACTCACAACAGAATTCAATATTCTTTCAAACATCAGAAACATTGAATGAGTGCAGATAATTTCACAAAATCGGTTACCAGCGTTAGTTATGTCTTAAAGAAAAAAGCAACACTTTCTTCGCCACCTTTACCTGCTCCCTTTGAAATCTTTTGTTAGCTATGCTATAGATGATTATTTTGTGTCAAGCGCTCGAATCTGCGAACAAGAGAACGTGTCTAACAAGCGTCCGTACAAACATCCAAGCATATGAACAGTTTAGAGTGAAGGAAACCGAACTTGTTACAAAATAATTTTTTACTAATGTCAAATCTACGAAAAGTATATTTCTACCTTTGATAAGTACAGTCATTTGGAAGTCGAACGCTGCATGCCCTAAGCCAGCATTAAAATTGGCCACCTAATATGTAAATTTCGAAACCTTCTAGTAATATGACCGATTTTCTTCAAGAAAATTCACAAGTGATCAATTTTCATTTATATACCTGAGCAGCCGATTTTTCATTCCAAGCAATCAAATTTTCAAATCGAACGATCCAGAGAGTGGCAACGTTTATCCCCAGAGTTTTTTATATCTAAACTGGTACCCGCCAATTTGAGAAAAAAAAAACGCCGCTGCATTCATACCAAAGTTTTGATACTAACTTGAATAAAGCGCACTTATTACTGCAGTTTGTAATCAGTGAAAATCACATGCTCATGGTTATTTCCAAATAGTTCTACGATGAAATGACAACTACTTTTTTCCAATTTTTTCTTCCTCAATACTCCAATTTCTATTATAATTTCTGTTTTCTCTATTTGCTCGCCTCACAATGAAGGCAGTTAATGGGTGTAGCAATGGGCGGTCCCTGACCTCTGAGATGCGGAGGTGCTAGAACCCTCCTGAGTGCGATTGATGGTGCGAACTTGGTGCGAGGAAAGGTGTTAGGAACTCCTGCACGCCCTCCTAAATAAAGCAGCAACGATTACTAAGGGTCCGCAAAAAACGTGGAAAATCTCTTCTGCTGTGCTGACAGAAGCAACCCGGCACAGGTACGCAGCAGCCCAGCCATCGGCGCTGTGTCGCGGCTTCTTCAGTGAAATCATACTATACAGAATCATTTCTGTAGTGTGTATTTCGCAATCCCAACCAAAAAGCGACACTGTCCACCGCGATGAACGGGAAACGGGCGAGTTGCGAGCGGGAAGAACGCGACTTGTCGCGCCGAGGACCGTGACGTGGTGCAAGATCGCGTCGGCGACTCGCTCTTCTGAGCGGTTTTATACGAAGTGCAAAAATTGAAAGAAATAGGTGATGTGAATTTTTTTGCCTTTTCTCCTTTCCTTTTCCCGGTCTTACCAAATGCTGAAAAACTTTTTTAATCGAATTCGAAAGAAACCTATCAGGTTGTAACAGAATTAATGCAGGTTTTTCGTGCACCTTTTTCAAAATGCTGGTTTAGAAAGAGAAAGTATTTTCTCAAAGAGTTTTGCATATCATTTGGAAGCTCTCCTCTTCTGATTTCTTATGCATTCTTTCGTTTCAGTGGAAGTGAAGTTGTCCAGAAGTTCTGAGCCAATGAATCTGAGAAACCAAATCTCGAAATTCTTTCTTTTAATATACCTGGCTCTAAAACCACCAAAAACAATCGGAATGCAAATGCAAATTTACGTGTTATTTTTGAGTGAGCTATGATACAAAATGCATGTTAAATCATGAATTCTGAAAACATCTGAGCTGAGAAAATTCAGAGCAAAATTCAACGGTCGCTGTGGTCCGTCTGTCCTACCTAAAAATCCTCAGCGCGTCGCAACTGCGGAGCTTCCGCTTTGTATAGGAAAAATAGATATTAGACAATTATGGCCGAAAAAAGCGAGAGCCGTTTTTTCTACTCAGCTTTGAAAAAATTCAATAGTTTCGAAAAGGCGATTTTTCAAATCCTCAGAAAACTCGAAAAATGAGTACTCCTAAAAAATTTTCAAATAACCTCTCGCAAAGAATTCATTTTCAATTTTGAATCTAGCGCTGCTGCACAACTGACAATAGGCTACACAGTGAGTTATATTTGCGCTACCTTACTATATTTAATAGTAAGTTATGGTTTCTCAAAGTGAAGGTTTCCTGAAAAAATTCTTGGCAGAATTCGGGCTATAAGATTTTTCTCAATCAAAGCTACAACAACACAATAATGCATACTGAGATGAAAAAGATTTGCTAATTACAAAAATTTTTGTTGCACACGAAAAGACTATTTGTGTAAAAAGTTATAATGATCCAAGTAAAAAATCCAGAAAACCTGCGTTAATTCTGTTACAACCTAATATTTTAGTTGTGCCGTTCTTTAAAACTGATGGCACGCACTGCGTTAAATAAGTCATGCAATTATCGCGGCCTCGTACCACGCATGCCTTTAACCTGTGCTATGATGAGATTGCCAACTCGGCGGGCATACGCAGCAGGCTCACCTGCGCTAACCTTACCCAGGTTATTCGGTAGCTTTGCGCAGAGGCGATAACGTGACCAATGAGGCTCTGCCGAGGTGCGTTTATTGCTGGTTGAAAACTTATACCAATTGCCCGCGATGGCGCCTGAACAAGGCTGTCATACGCAATTTTTGAACGCCCCTAGGGGGCAGCAAGATCGAAGAGTGGTAAGTGTGAGGCTATGTGCATCACAAACATGGAAGTTTTCAAGGATTTTAACACGTTACGTGAGCAAGGTGAACTTGCGACAGGTACGCCGCGACTCACCCATCGGCGCCGTGTCACGACATTGTCGTTGAAATCATACTATACAGAATCATTTCTGTAGTGTGTACTTCGCAATTCCAACCAAAAAGCGACACCTGTCCACCGCGATGAACGGGAAACGGGCGAGTTGCGAGCGGGAAGAACGCAACTTGTCGCGCTGAGGACCGTGACGTGGTCGCAAGATCGCGTCGGCGACTCGCTTTTCTGAGCGGTTCTATACGAAGTGCACAAAATTAGGAAAAGGGTGATTTATGCGTCCTTCTCGCCATATCACTAAAAAAACATTTTTTGATTTTCCTCGTCTGTTCCAGAATCGTGTGGAGACACTTATGATTAGAGAGAAAAGGACACATGGATTTTTCCATACAATAATTCATACTCTAATCTGCAGTTTCTGGCATTTTTTATGTCTTGGTGATTTCTGGTGGCTCCCTATGATAAGCAAATAGTATGGAATTCCCGAGAAATGGTTGGCTTGTTAGAAGGAGTTCAAAGTAGCATTTTCAAGCTCTATCGAATGACCAATGCCATAACAATATCTCGTTGCTGACAATATAGCGCAATTATCGCGACCTCTTCCATCGCTATCTTTATCATTGCTGCGGTAAGATTACCAAGTCGGCGGGTATACGCAGCAGGCTTACCTGGCACAACCTTACCCAGGTTACTCAGTAGCTTTGCGCAGAGGCGATAACGTGACCAATGAGGCTCTGCCGAGGTGCGTTTATTGCTGGTTGAAAACTTATACCAATTGCCCGCGATGGCGCCTGAATAAGGCTGTCATACGCAATTTTTGAACGCCCCGAGGGGGCAGCAAGATCGAAGAGTAGTAAGTATGGGGCTATGTGCATCACAAATATGGAAATTAGATTGGAATTAACTACCTCTGAATGCCTCTTGATGTAAGCTCTCCCATGGTTAAACGCAAAAACTTTGCATGAATGTTGCCTAGCCAGGGCTCGGTCAAGCTGGATATCGTTTATGGGACAAAATGCAAAGGATATATCGTTTTTGTGACCTAATAGAGACAAAAATTGAGTTTTTTAGGGTTTTTACGTTTAGGATTTAGGGCCAGAGGGGACTTTGTACAAAATTTTCCGGATCCAAGAAGACTCCGTTTTGAAATTTTCTGCCAGCTCGTGCAGAGCTCTGCTTAACTCATCAAGGCAAATCTTGTGATGTACACCATGTCCTCGATATTCCGTTTTCTGTGCTCATAAAAAATATTTTGTGGACGTCTTTTCGCGAAATATAATGCAGCTCGCATCACACATCAAAAAAATCAGTAAACGCCAGTGGCGTACCGAGGGGGGGGGCGGGGGGGGGCGCGCGCCCCCCCCCCCCCGAGAATGGGTCGCGAAATTTTTAAAAGTTACTTATATGGGTTATAAAAATGTGCAAGCGACTTATTTATACTTGTAAATAATCAAAATAATGTTTAAAAATTTTTAAAAATTCAAATTAGCCTTGTAAAAAAATTTTTTTTCGGGGGCGTGGCTGACGCCACGCCCCCTTTTTCCAGATTTTAGGGGTTGGGGACCGCAAAAACTTTGAAAAGCACCCCTAAAATTTTTTCGGAGTGCGTGGCTAACGCCACGCACCGTCATTTGAAAAAAATTTTTGCCGCGCCCCCCCCGAGCGGAAATCCTGGGTACGCCACTGGTAAACGCCTATATCCAGTGAAATTATTGTAGATAATAAACGCTAAGAAATAGCTGTAGATTTCTTTACAGAAGAAATGGAGGCTGAAAACCTGGAAAAAATCTACAATATGAAGCTGTTTTGCTAAGCAGATGTAAATTCGTGACCAGCAAGTGAGATAAATTTTACGGCAATTTTTTAAAGGGGTCCGCTTTCGAAGTAAAGGTTTCAGGCTCTCTGTGATGGTATGCAGAATGTGTAGTGCCATTTCGAATTCAAGGCATTCCTTAGTTGGTGTGGGAGGGAAGTAAACATCACACGACGAGGAACAGAAAAAAGAGTGATTTCTGAATTCGCTGTGATTTTTCATGCGAAGCTCAGTTAAGATTTGGAGGGGGTCCGCCTCGCTATCTCAGAATCCGCACCATTATATGAACAGACAGAATTTCTATATCCCAATAGTTTTTCTTTAATTGCTGCTGTTGTATCCAGATATACTGCATTATCAACTAACAATTTATTACTACAAAATCAATTGACTCGACGCAGATGCCGACGATGAGCCTTTTGAGTTTGACGATGCTTTCTGTGTGTTTTCTAGAGTTTGCTGACCTGAAATGATGTTCATCACATGTTACGTACAGAAATGAATAGAATCTGCAATTAGCTTACCATTAACGTCGTTGACAAAAGAAAAGGAGCTGACTTGAGTGCGATCACCACTGGCTGCTACACCACCATTTACAGTAATATCTAGAAAGTTTATTTTACACAGAAAAACTGTAAAAATATATCTTAAAAATTAGTGATTTTACCAACTTCTCAATTCGTTCAACAGCTGCTGGATAAGGCCTACATTTGTCTGAACAGAGCTATCGCCAGCGCCTCCACCCCAAGCCTCCATCGCGGCAGTCCCGTTTGATCCCGTGGCGCTGTTAGCAATCAGGGATGTATTGCCCTTCATGCCATTCATTTCTCCATGAGCTACTCCACTGGACAATGCCAATCCTTCTGTAAATAGAGGGTATTTGGCGTACAGAACAATTTTTAGAGGTGATTTTTTGGGTAGAGAGTTTAGCGAAACGAGGGAGGAAAGGAGCCCCTCCCTTCTTTATATGATCGGGTTACGATCTCTTTAGAAGTCATCTATATGAGCCATAGAAATGCAAGCGACTTGTCTTCACTAGATAATTGAAAGTTTTCAAAGTTTGTGTTGAATTTGCAAGAATTTTTTCGAGGAGGCTAGCACAAGTTCTGAGAAGCATCCAAAGATCTTTTGGGTATGTGACTACCGCCAAGCATCTTCATTCAAAAAAATCTTTACTTGCCCTTTCCCCACTCCCAAAAATTCTCGGACCGCCACTGATAGTTACGTATTAAAAAATATAGGTGAGACTTTGCTATTGAAAAAGTTGGAAAGTGTAATTTTTTTTTATAATAAGTACTGATAATGAGTACTAGGAGTTTTATAGGAGAGTGGGCTATAAACTGTAGATTAGTGCTGATTCGAAAAATTTTGGGGGAGGGCGAAGGGGAGAGGGGACACAAATCTGAGGAGTATGAGATTGGCCACTTCTTAGACGATATTATGCCGGGTAATAATCTGAATGGCAGCGCCTCCCCCAAAATTTTTAATTTAATTTACATTTTTGAGACTTTTCATAGAATTTTCTATGGTCTCTTGCACAATTATTAGGTTGATTCATAATTAATGCACGTTTTTGTCACCTGTTTTTCCAAGCGCTGGTTTTTCAAGGAAGCTGAATCTTTCTCAAAAATTTCAATGCTATCTGAAAGAGCCTTTCTTCTAGTTTCTTGTGTATTCTTTCTTTTTCGAGACACTCTGTATGATGCCGAATTTCACGCTTCGGAATATGAGGGACTAAAACGTGAAATTTTTTCCTTCTATTCTTTTTGCTCTAATTCCATGAGAACAAAAGGTGTTATTTTCAAAAAATATACCCAACAATCGCGAAGCTTTCTGCTATAGAAATCTCTATAAAGCAGAATTTTGCAAAAGTTCTGAGATGAGAGATTCAACCACAAACTTGGCCGTTTGTTGTGGCCTTTCGAAGTTGTATAAAACTTTAAAACAAAAACCAATGACCGCGATTTTGCTTTGTACACAAAGAATAGACATAGCATATTGAGTGATAGAAAAACGGTGAATTTTTCCAGCTTTTTAATGGCAAAAATTTTAAAAATTTTCAAAAACGACATTTTTTCGCTTTTCTGAAAAAGCTAGAAAAAATGACCACTTTTGAACTTTTTGCAGTATCTCGTCGTGGAAGATTACCGTAAAATCCTAGTTTTTTTGCTACTGCTCTCTTGACCATTGGCTACACAATGAGCGAAGTTTGCGCTTTCCTCCTACCTTTAACAGTAAGTTATGCTTTCTCAAAATAGAGGTTTCTGAAAAAAATTTTTGGCATTTTTCGGATTCTACAAACTTTCTCGTCACATTTGTCTATGAACAAAAGTATGTGTTGTAAAGCCAAAGATTTGCTCTTTGCAACAGTTCTTATTGCTCTTTGAAAGATGATGTGGGAGAAGAATTACGGCGCTTTGAAGGTGAATTTCGAAAAACGTGCATTAATTATGAATCAACCTAATATATCACTATGCAGACCTTTTAAGAATTTACAAACCATGAGAAGGATAGGGAGGGAGGACGGTGGTATATGGTTACACCACAAAACTCTCAGAATCAGACAAGAAGCATACCGTAAGCGTTGGAGATGCTAGCATCACCACCGATGGTAAGACTCGAATTTTTACCAGTCGATACGGCTTGACCTTCGCCATCGACGGCTACCCTGAATGATAACCATAATTATAGAATTAAAATTTCCTCTTTTTGAACTTTGCGGCTAATTATGCCAAAAAAGTCACAAAAACATACTGTGCAACCCCGTCTGGACCATATTTTGTGTCCACATTCATAGAAGCATTCGAGTTTTCTGTTCCATTTCCAAACACAAAACCGTTACCGAGCGCAACTAAAATCGTAGATTATCTGGAACACGTCCATTCCAAAAAAATCCTTCTAGTACAACTGCAAGCTCCAAAAAACATACTAGAAAGATATGACAATCCATCACAAAATACAAAAATCCATTCAGATTTCTACATGTAGATTATAACACTCCCTAATATTGGTATCATTTCCAATCCTTTTTTTTGCAGCCGAAACAAGATTATAAACAACTAAAAGTTGCCGCACTTGTTTGCCCATGATTGTCCTGAATGTTGAGACCATTCTGCACCGTCATGTGTTTGTTGGTCCCTTCAACTGTGGCATTCGTTCCTACCTTGCCTTCGTTACCAGTCTGCAAAGTAGAATTCATTGGAGATTTCTGAAAAATATTCTTTTTATAAGTGGTTGTGAATCATTGCTGCTACACTAGAATTTGTAAACATAAAAGTAACGCAGAAACGATTATTAGGGTTTCGCAAAATACGTGGAAAATCTCTTGTGCTGTGCTGACAGCAGCAACCCTGCACAGGTACGCCACAACTCAGCCATCGCCGCTGTGTCGTGACATTTTCGTTGAAATCATACTATACAGGATCATTTCTGTAGTGTGTATTTCGCAATCCCAACCAAAAAGCGACACCTGTTCACCGCTATGAACGGGAAACGGGCGAGTTGCGAGCGGGAAGAACGCGACTTGTCGCGCTGAGGACCGTGACGTGGTCGCAAGATCGCGTCGGCGACTCGCTCTTCTGAGCGGTTTTATACGAAGTGCAAAATCTTATATATAAATGAATGTCTGTTTGTATGTCTGTATGTCTGTATGTGTGTACGTATGTTCCGAATAGAAAATTTCATTTCTGAACCGATCGGGACCAAACTTGGCACACATACACTTCGGGCCCCGGCGGGTGTCAAAGGCTACTTTTCGTATCGATCGATATCGATTTTATCGATTTTTTGCAAAATTTGAGCTACGGGGCTGGGAGTTGGCACAGGGGGGTAAGTGAGCATGGGGATTCCGAATACAATATTAGTTTTTAGAATCGTGCATTACTTTTATCGATTTTATCGATTTTTTGCAAAATTTGAGCTAGGGGGCTGAAATTTGGCAGAGGGGTGTAATCGAACATGCTGATCATCCCCACGGGGATGATCAGCATGCTCGATTACCCCCCTGTGCCAAATCCCAGCCCCCTAGCTCAAATTTTGCAAAAAATCGATAAAATCGATAAAAATAATGCACGGTTTCGAAAACTAATATTGTATTCGTAATCAGCATGCTCGATTACCCCCCTGTGCCAAATCCCAGCCCCCTAGCTCAAATTTTGCAAAAAATCGATAAAATCGACATCGATCGATAGAAAAAAGTGGACTGTGACACCCGCCGGGGCCCGAAGTGTATGTGTGTCAAGTTTGGTCCGGATCGGTTAAGAAATGGAATTTTCTATTTGGAACATACGGCGGAGCCGGGTAAGCCAGCTAGTAGGAAATAAAGAAAGGACGTATTGTGAGCATTTTTGCTTAGAATTTGGTAAACTAATCATATCACTGATTTGATTTTATTTATTTGATGTTCCAAGAATGTGTCCAATTAAGTACTGTGAAAACTCTTTTTATTGATTGTGCACTTTTATAGAAGTGATTCTTATGATATCAAGTGTTTTTGGAAGTTAATTCGAAAAGTAGCTTAGAGTTTATCAAATTAATTTATAAAAATATTCGATATTAATAAAATTAATTCTAGCAATATCGAATATTTTTGATAATTAATTTTTTTCAGTATTTACTATCCAGTGGCACACTTTGCTTCATAAAAATGGTAATATCCCAGAGACTCGACGAGTAAGTCAGCTCCCTACATTAGTTCACACCAGAAGCAAATTCAAGTCAATTCGTTATGACATTGCGGCAGTGTGCTTGTGCATTGAGCGGTGTTTGGCGCAATTATCGCGACCCCTTACCACACTTGCCTTTAACCCGCTGCTGTGTTCAGATTGCCAACTCGGCTGACATACGCAGCAGGCTCACCTGGGACAACCTTACCCAAGTTACGCGGTAGCTTTGCGCAGAGGCGATAACGTGACCAATGAGGCTCTGCCGAGGTGCGTTTATTGCTGGTTGAAAACTTATACCAATTGCCCGCGATGGCGCCTGAACAAGGCTGTCATACGCAATTTTTGAACGCCCCGAGGGGGCAGCAAAATCAGTGGTTCAGAAAAAATTTGTATTTCTACCAGGTGCTTGTAACACCATGCGTGGTTTGTTCTCATTATTCCCGATCATCACTTAGTCTTCAAGTTAAACAGTTATTCTCCGGTCAGCAAGTTTCTGTTCAAGAAATGTTCCGTGAACAAACCTAGCAAACTCAAATTTGGTTACATGAAAAAAACAGTTATTTGACATTTCCGAGAAATGAGAGTAGTAAGCTCACAGTGGATTTAGGAAGGACGAAACCTCCTCTCTTCTAGTTGTAAGATAGGTCTTGCTGAATTCATGTGAATCTCGATTGATTGATCAAAAGACTTGACACTTGAGTATGTGAGAAAAGCGATTTCGAATAGCTGAGAAATTTCTATGCGTGGCTACTGTCTTACTTTTCTTTTTTTTCTTGTTCGGTTTGATGGGGGTGGAGATGAATCTTGGTACCTCTGCATTCATTTTCTGAAAATGAGTGAGTTCTTGATGCTAGTTGATGAGAAACACGAAATTGCTTTGTATCACATTAATTGGTACACAGATTGCGGATTGCAATTACGGCATTCTACATGTGACTGTAAGCATGGTTAGGTGATTATGAGATTGGAAATCAGTGGATGGGATATACAACGAGCTAATAGGACTTTCTAACAACATGACAAGATAAGATAAAGAATTCCAAATCCTATTAGCACCTTTTGCTTTGGTAAAACTATGGGCAAAATAAAACAATTAAGTTTCCTGCAGCCGGTAAAAATAACAGTTAAGTTGCCTAAAAAGTTAAAATTACTAAGCAAATAAATGGCGTTAACTACTCTTTATTTTGTGTAGTACACAGTACTAAACTCACAATTATTCAATCTTGCTGCCCCCTGGGGGCGTTCAAAAATTGCGTATGACAGCCTTATTCAGGCGCCATCGCGGGCAATTGGTATAAGTTTTCAACCAGCAATAAACGCACCTCGGCAGAGCCTCATTGGTCACGTTATCGCCTCTGCGCAAAGCTATGAAATAACCTGGGTAAGGTTGGTGCAGGTCAGCCTGCTGCGTATACCCGCCGACTTGGTAATCTTACCGCAGCACTGGTAAAAGCAACGATTCCGTTAAAATAACATACCTCGTGACCAAGATTGCTTTCGGCTCTCATGTTGATCGCACTGCTACCGTCGGTATGGATTTTGGAATCGCCAAATGAACTTACACCTGGAGGAGAAATTTTCCTTTTGCACAGAATGTTGTAAAACTGAACGTACTTGTATTTCTATTTGTGGTATTGCTTTGAATATTTGTGGCTCCAACTAAGGTGCTATTACCATTTGCACCATTCACATTTCCTAGCATATTTGCATTTAGGTTATGTTCGGTTCCATCCATTTGTCCGTTGCCTTTTACCTGAAGAGAGTTTGTACAGTATTTTTATCGTAATGTTTGTGTTCCTTTGGGTGAAGAATTCTCTAAATAATAATCTATCCCATATTTGAAACATTAGGAAAATCAATTAGCATTACAAATATGTACTTTAGTAAATTTGAAGGTGTGATGTGGCTGATTACTCAATCAAGGTATTATAAGGCTTCCTGTTAAATGATTTAAAGTGATTTTTATATATTTCATATAATTAAACTCGAGTGACTTTGATCATAGTCCATATTTTTTTGAGCTAGCGTGAATCATTTAGTGAGAACTAACGTTGTTTCTAAATTTTGCTCGAAACAAGGATAAGATTATGAGCATAAATAGCTTACAGCGTTGGAAAAAAAAGCTGGAAAATATTGTGTATTCAACGATATTGTCCTACTTTTTTTTTCCTGACTACCGTAATCCATAGCTTACCTCGGCATTGACAATACCACCACCAGCGTTCACTCCTGACACGAGACCATTGATTTCGATACCTAAGAAGTTAATTTTTGTTTCTGCTCAAGAGCCAACAGTAAGGTAAATTTTTTTTCACCATTATTCACGTTTCCAGCGCCTAAGTCGAGATTCGCTTGTGCATGTCCTATACCAGAAGCTTCAGCAGACCCTAGCACTTGCACCAAAATGTTCTCCCAAGTCAATTCCTGCAAGAAGATTCGGCAATATATTTCTTATTTTTAAATACTACTTCAACGCAGTCAATATAGATTGCTCGTCTTAGGCAGCTTCCAAATTTGCCTGCGTGCCGCGGCTGTGCCAACGTCGTGCCGCCATGTCGGAACACACATGGAGTGATGATCGGTCGACGTTCTGGCACGACGCTTGACGCAGCTTTAGCTGTACACAACATACCAAGGTGAATAATTTATGAATATGAGTAAGGTACTCTAGCGGTGTTATATCCTAATGACAAATTTACAGTAAGAATACTGTAAGGCGTACTCACCTGTCTTGTGAGAATACTTGCCATTGACTGAATTGAGCCTGTGGCTCCAGCTGTTCCCACTGATTTGTCACTACCTGAAAGAGTAAAAAAAGAAACAGAAACAAACTCTGCAAAATGTAAGAAAATGTTTATTCACCAAAACACTTCTTCGCTTCAAATGATCATTCTAAGCATCTTAAGAATTTGTAGCGAAGCACGATAAAAAAAATTGTATCCCTGTAACCCATTCTTTTACTCTTCAGTTTGAGTGCGTTTAGAGTTGGTCGTATCAGCGTCGTACCAGTGTCGATCTAGTGCCAATTCAGCGCCGGCTAGCGCCATACTGAAAGGTCGATCGATCGCTGTAGTCCGCATCCAGTTGGTTCCGGCACGGTGCTGGCACAGCACAAGCACGAGGACAATCTTAGGCGCAGCGAGACTACTGCCAACATTCACTTACTATAAGGGCTATTGAACCCAAAATTCGACATGACCGCTCCGCCACTCGACTGCACCAAAGTATCTCCTCTTCCATCCGCTTGTCCCTGGATCTCAAGCATTGAAAAAGTCAAAATATTTTCGCAGAGTGCTTACCATTTGAAGGCTAGAGACGGATTGGTCGGATCCATTCGCTGCCGCTGATATTAACGATGAGGCTAATGCGTTTTGACCTTGTGCATCAACATTGCCGGTAGCATTTAAACCTGAAAATTAGAGTTGTAACTTTAAACGCATATGTTGGGTTTAACACATTGACGACCACGCAGAATTTTAGTCGTCTGCCTTCTGGGACCAAGGTCTCTTATGAATCATCCCACAATTCTCAACTAAAATTACGCATAATGCTATCTACACTACACCTACAGTAGATCTGAAGGGATGACAAAAAAAAGTAGAGGTAATCCCTAAATTCAGTGCAAAAGAGAGCTCACGGAGTGAGTTCATCCCAAGATAGTGGTCATTTTGACAAAATAAAAGCCTTGACACACATGGTGTGTCAAGCGGTCCCACACGGTAGTCATTGCTTGACACACCATGTGTGTCAAGCTGTCGTCAATGTGTTAATGATTGGAATTTTGGAAATGTTGATTTCGAATCTGGAAAGCTGTGATATGATTCTGCCTTTTGGAGGGGTATTCAGACGCAGCAACGGTTGCAAAAAAAATCGGAACAATCTTCCAGAAAGTGCAAAAGGATGGAAGAGCGTTATGAAGTTTTTGTACAACATGGAAGTCGAGGTTTGAATCAACACGCATGCAGTTTGTTTTCAAGAACTCATTTCATAACGTAAACTGTTATTCAATCGCACATAACAGGGTTTGCACATTTTATGCATCCTTAGCCACTAACAAACGTGACCTATTTTGGAAAGCGGAAACAGTTGCTGTCTTGGAAGAATTTTTCCAAATCTGTTTGGTATAAAAATCTGGTAACTTGCCTAAGAATCCAATCTGTCCTAAGGCTTGATTCTTTATAAATGAATGATTTTCTCCAGCTGCGTCTCCCGATGAGGAAACATTCAGATTGACGCTGCCATCTGCATTCTGTAAAAAAAGTCATTTCTTTTGCCCAAGTGCTTCATTTGTGGAGGTATGGAGCTTTTCTCTCTTTGATCCACCGTGTCATTCTCAGTATTCTATATGTCTGACTTCATAAAGAGGGATAATCAACCTTATGAATGTGTGAAGTCGCATTCGTCAAAACATCATCTCCGAGACCCTCTGTAAGCGCATCGGCAATCACAGCTGAAATAAATACAATTGCGTGAACCAAACTGAACTCTTTAAGTCTGTCGTAAAGCAAATCTTGAACAAACTTTAGTCTAGAAAGGAACTGTACAAAATGTTTTTCGAGCATTTCTTGAGAATCTTCAAGCGGAAATTGGTGTCATCATGAAGAATTTAGTTGGGAAATTTTTTCTTCAAAAGCTAAAGTTTATTTTGTGGGAATGACTTAGAAATCAAAAAATAGAGAAGATCATGTTTATGATGTTTAGATTTGGTTTCATAACTTATACGAACAAATCTATGGAACCTGTTCCTGTCTGCCTTTTCAATCTACTTCTGACTATTAAAGATGTATCGCAGAGGAGGAGCATGCTGGACAACCCAAGAAGTAGCGGCATGGATCCAAGCATAACTGAATACAACTGAATATGAAGAGATTCGTACAAAACGAAATATGATGAGTAATTATGAAAAATTCGAAATTGACATTAAAGACAATAGCGTTTCGTTTTGAAAGAGTTAGCAAGATTCTGCACACTAGTGTTGCCTTTTTTAGAAAAAGAAATCCGGAAGAATGTAACAAATTGAACAAAAACAAACAAGTAGATTCTACAGCCTCTGCTCGTTCAGCATCGTAGCGACCAATTATATGAAATCATAGTAAAGCTCGGATTAACGGGTATTCGTGTGAAGCGGGAGGGCAAAGACCGCATAGGTGGAATTTGACAATATGTTCGATCATCTGCTACTTATGAATCAAATCCATACAAAAACTTACTTGAAATATGTTTTCCCATTACTCCTCTCCATCACAAGGTTTAGGCTTGGGTAGTAATTTCAACAATTTTTCGGAAGTAATGAGTTACTGAAGAATCCGAAACCTAAAAAAAAACTTAGAGCCTTTACAGATAAAAAAGAAAGTCTTTTTCAAGAGTGACACATGGAGAAGAAGCGCGCTAGTAGTCGTATGTAAGCAGCGATTTTTCTCAAAAAGAGATATTGCATAACTGTCAAAAAGCGATGCTATGCAAAAACATTATTGATTATGCCAGTAGTTTGGCAACACTGCATGATAATATTGTAAAAAACAAGAATGGGAGGAATATTATACTTCATCTACTATACATGTAAAGTTCTGTCTATGCAAGCGTTGTTCCACTGCCAGGACGTAAACGTAACCCCGCACAGGTACGCCACAGCTCAGCCATCGGCGCCGCGTCGTGACATTTTCGATGAAATCATACTATACAGAATCATTTCTGTAGTGTGTATTTCGCAATCCCAACCAAAAAGCGACACCTGTCCACCGCGATGAACGGGAAACGGGCGAGTTGCGAGCGGGAAGAACGCGACTCGTCGCGCCGAGGACCGCGACGTGGTCGCAAGACCGCGTCGGCGACTCGCTCTTCTGAGCGGTTTTATATGAAGTGCAAGAAATATATAGAGCGAGTATCGTTCTTCTTCTTCCTGTCTACTCTTCTCCATTTTCTCATCTTGCTAAAATTAGGATTCAATCGTGGCACTTCCATGAAGCATTTTTTCATATGGAAAAAGATCTTAAAAATATTCTAATGTTGATCTAATATGTTTTTCTTTCCTTGGCACTTAGGCATTCCAGTTTATTCTCTTTTTTATTGAAATATTTTTTGCTAAAAGATGGTGGGCGATTAATTGATTAGTGGCGAAAGATTGGCGAAACATTAAATAAGGTCGCCGTAACTACAAGGTTAGTAAGTTCTAGACTCGTTCATATGAAAGATTTTTTCAAATGGTGGGCTGGGCTGGATTACTATCAGTCACCGCGGCCTCGTGACCGCGATCGCCGCGATGCCGCACACGCCTTTACCTGGGGCTATGATGATATTGCGAAGTCGGCAGGGATACGAAGCAGGCTGACCTGCACCAACCTTACCTAGGTTAGCCGGTAGCTTTGCGCAGAGGCGATAACGTGACCAATGAGGCTCTGCCGAGGTGCGTTTATTGCTGGTTGAAAACTTATACCAATTGCCCGCGATGGCGCCTGAACAAGGCTGTCATACGCAATTTTTGAACGCCCTCAGGGGGCAGCAAGATCGAAAAAGTGTGGAACTGTGTGCCTTGCAGACATGTGGTTTGAATTGCAAAGTTAATTACTTACCAATGACTGATTACAGCTTGAAAGTAAACTTAACCACCATAGTAGATTACCCCTCTTCTTTACCTCATCATGCAATTTCGAAGATCTTAATGAGCTTGAAGTAACTGAACAATTTTCTCTAGTAATTCTGATTTCGAAACAAAAATACCGAATGTGTTGTGTTGCTGAATCACAGGTCACACTTCAGAAAAACTCTGTGCACATTCGAACGCCTTTTTATGAACGTCCGAAAGTGGGTAAAAACTGATAAACTGGGCTTGACGTTGCATTTAATTTCCAACAACTATCTGCGCTCCTGTTATTCTGTGTGAAAGCGTCATATCTTAATACCTTGTTTATCGCGCAACCTTCCATCAGGCATAAGAGACTGCGATTTAGCAGAAAGTTTCGCAAGAAGCCTGTAGAGTAATACAGTATCAATAGATATAAGACCATGTATGGAAGAAGTTTCCAAAGATCAGCTTACAAATTCTGTCTCCTAATCAATGCATTCTTAGCATTCAATTGATTGAGATGTTCAGTTCAAAGACAGCTAGAGAGAGGTACTAGGTTAGCAAGCCGTTTGATATACGCGTCAGGAATTTGAAGCAGAGGAGACTGAAAGTATTTGTGTGTTTGAGCAGATGTTCATGGATGCATCCTGTGACTCCACGTTTTCTCTTTTGAGTGTTCAAAGAACTACTTGTATCTGTTATTTTTATGGAGCACTGTTTGTAAAGGGCAACAAAACGCCAGTAAAATACTAGACGGTCTGTAGTGGTGTGAATCGCAATATTAAAAATAAATGAGTCACTCATTCGAGACCATTTTGCTCTGAAGTTTAACGAAGTTTTTGTAAATGTATTACAGAAAAGGTCAACTTGATATTGTTGAGTGTAATTAACCCCTTTTCTTTTTCGGTCCCCTATTGTGAGATGTAGATATCCCATATTGTCCAACAGTCTTGCTGCCCCTGGGGGCGTTCAAAAATTGCGTATGACAGCCTTGTTCAGGCGCCATCGCGGGCAATTGGTATAAGTTTTCAACCAGCAATAAACGCACCTCGGCAGAGCCTCATTGGTCACGTTATCGCCTCTGTGCAAAGCTACCGACTAACCGGGCTAAGACTGGTGCAGATCAGCCTGCTGCGTATACCCACCGACTTGGTAATCTTACTACAGCGTTGGTAAAGGCATGCGTAGCATGAGACCGCGATAACTGCGCTATAATGCCTACGGCGCAATGAATCATTCGTGGACGCTGCTTTGAATTTTCTCTGGCATAAACCCACCACCTGCAGAAATTCATTTGTGTAAGAAAGTTAATCGAGGAGTAGTTACCAAGTCTCAAATTTCGAATCCATTCCCTCATCATGAGGGAGTAAGATATCTGGAATTTCTATAAAATGTAAAACCTTCTGCGAGTAATAGGTTGGTAGGTGATTCTACTAATTGATGCTTCGGCAGATCTTCGCTATCAATTAGTAAAGGTTCAACGCATCTTTCGCAAAGAAAAACTTGGAAAACAAACTGGAGTATGAAGTAAAGAAGAGAATGAGGTATGAAAGAACCTCTGGTGTCATTCTTGTGGCAAAAATAGCCATCACAGAAATTACTACTATTTTGCAAATTTATCAGCGACGTGGGAGAGAACGGGAGCGCTGGGAGGAGGACTTTGCGTGTTCTCCTTGATTTTTTTGCATTCCTATAGTATAAGACCGCTCAGAAAAGCGAGTCGCCGACGCGATCTTGCGACCACGTCACGGTCTTCAGCGCGACAAGTCGCGTTCTCCCCGCTCACAACTACCCGTTTCCCGTTCATCGCGGTGGACAGGTGTCGCTTTTTGGTTGAGATTGCGAAGTACACACTACAGAAGTAATTCTGTATAGTATGATTTCAGCAAAGATGCCGCGACGCAGCGCCGATGGCTGAGGGGCGGCGTACCTTTGCGGGGTCACCTTTGCGTCCTGGCAGTGAAACAATGCTGCATTAACAAGACTTTGCATGTATAGTAGCTGTAATATTGATATTTCACTCCTTCATGGTTTTCTATAATATTCACTCAGTAGCGTAATCACTGGTATTTGCTTTTGAACTTTTATACAAAACTTTGTATCCAGAAACCCATAAAATTTCTGCGGAGGAGTCGCCCACTCATAGCACTTGCCGAGCGAACATACCGTCCTTTCGATATGATGAATCTTTTAGAGCTTCTCATTTACATAGACTTTTATTCTCATACGTTGTTTTCACAGTTTATGACTTTCATCAAGTGATACCTGCTTCAATTTGCTGAACAATCTCATGCAAACTCGCACATCCTCCTACATACACCCAAACTCTCAACGTCTTGCATTGCATCTGTAAAGCTCTTTCGCTCTAGTGCTGATATGTCATCGCGGAATGGCATTTTTGCGATCCCTCAGATTGACTCATAAATGTGAAGATTCACCTCTTTCTCATTGACGGAAAGGCGGATCTGTCCTGTTTGCGTTTCGGGTACTTCTCTAAGGGTGCCTTCATACCGCTAGCAGCCCGTAGGAGCCCGTAGCAGCCGCCAGCAGCCCGCAGCAGCCGCCAGCAGCCCGCAGCAGCCGCCAGCAGCCCGTAGCAGCCCGTAGCAGCCCGTAGCCGCCGTTGGCCGCTTTTGTTATCACACGCAAAATCATCAGATTACTACTGATTTGATTGTACTATGCCTCTCATCCTCCACGTTTTTTTCTTCCTTTTGCCGCGAGTACGCAATTCTAAAAAATCATATAAATAGCAACTGGATGCATCCAAAGTTGTAAGCACTCACCCGCGAACGAATTCGGCGCACTTGAGAAGTAGTAGACTGCTTAAAAAAGCACCGTTAGCAAAGGAAAAGAGTGAAGCAGAACCATATTTAGAAATTAATATATTGCACAAACAGAAACTGGACGCATTAAAAATCAGAGGGAATCACCAAAACTTCGGCTGTTTTATGGTTCACTGTAGTAGGGAAATTGATCACCACTAAGATGACCAATACAAAAAGATGGTGACAAAAATGGACACAAATTTAGCAGTAGCAGCAATAGTGTCTAATTTTTGAGGTCGAAGTACATGCAGTCCGCAACAGGGAGATAAAGCATGGGAGATCAAAAGCAAAGGTGTATACAATCAAATTAGTAAAAATTTGATTATTTTGCGTATGGGGACAAAAGCGGCCAACGGCGGCTACGGGCTGCTACGGGCTGCTACGGGCTGCTGGCAGCTGCTGCGGGCTGCTGGCGGCTGCTACGGGCTGCTGCGGGCTGCTAGCGGCGGCTGCGGGCGCGGTATGAAGGCACCCTAAAATATTGTGCTCGCGAAAAAGTGGTTTTGACGCACGTGTTTGAATCTATGTAAGACTTCCGATTTTAGTTAATGGTATGGTATCAAGAGAGGACTAGAGTGGGAACAGAATAATGGAGGAAGTTTTCCTTGAATTAATGAAAGCTTCTTCTACTCCAAAGTTTTCTCAAATAAAATTTTTTGCACACTCCTTTAAAACCAGCCTCCAATTAGACTTTGATTTTCCAGCGCTCTTTAGAGTAAAACACTCAAAATCTTGATCAAAGTGCACATTTTTCCACTTCCAAGAAAAGATGCACTCGTGCAGCTGTCCACCGCCTGTTCCTAATTTTGAGTATTACATGGTTCTCCCTATCCCATTTTATAATAAAACAGGCAAACTGCTCTTACAATTCTCTACGGAATTTTGTAGCAAAAATTCGACTTTACTATGCTTCACTGTTGAACCACCATATACACCGTTTACACTCCCACAATCCACAATGTTACAAATCCAGACTGTAGCGAACAGGTGATTCAGTGAATAGTTTATTAGCAAGTTGAATGACAGAGAAAGGTATGAGCAAAGGATGAAGACGAGAAGCCCTTACCAAGCATCGTTCCGGCATTTATACTGCATTTAGCGGTTGACCAAACACGGGACCATGCTTATGGCTCGTGGAAGGTCAACCGTATAGTGCATACGATTGATATATCGATTGTATACCTTTTAGATTGGTACTTATACGATGACAATGCGGGGCGCAGAAGAGCGAAGAATTTCACATCACAAACATGAATTAAACAATATAACAAACAACTTTCACATCACAAACATGAATTAAACAATATAACAAACAACAAAAAAGTATAACTTGCCTCTTTGTGGCAGTTGGGTGGCTGAGTGGGTGCTGTAGTTTGCTTGTTTTAAGGTGGCTGGCTCTTTCACTGGCTGGCATCACTGGCTCCACGACGTAGCAGTATGCAGAGTAATGGCAGTGGCAGCAGTAGAGTTCAAGTTGACCTCAAATCGAAATGATAGTGGAATATGTGTCGGTACGGTGAAGTGGCGCAAGGATGGTATGGCGATGGGATGGAATGGTGGTGGGAAGCTATGCCAGATGCCTCCGCTTGCGGTAGGTGTGTGGTGCAGTCCCCTGCGTATTGGCACAGAGGAGCACGTTATGCTCCCTTCTGCAGCACGGACACGATACCTCGCATCTAGTGCCGTGGCGTGCTTTTAGACACTGTTCACACAGAAAGAGTGCGACCAGCCGCATGGCGCGTGCTACTGGATCCTGGTATTGTCGGCATCGCGACGAGTAATGCCAGTCTCTGCGCTCGGGGGGAGGCGGGGGGGGGGGGGGCAGAAGATGCACTGGAGACGAGGATTCCGCTCCACTATGGTGTAATTTGCAACTGCATCATGCCAATCACTCCGAGCAGTTGGTCGATTCGCTGCTCGAGTAATCGGATGACGATGGCAAGGTGTTAAAAGGGGCACCAGCCTCAGCTCCGTCAAGCAGCTAATCTAAATCGACAAACATTGTTCGCGAGAATACTTTTAGGGGGTTTTGTACGCCTTTCCTTTTTCTCGTCGACTTTGACGTCGCTGTTTTGCCATGCTACATTCTGGTGCTGATAACCCTGTTGCGCAAACTGTCTTAATGTTTTTCCATCGCGTATTTTGGCTTATCATATTGCGCAACTTGACTCGATTTTGTTATTCCTTGTTGACTTATTCTTGAGCTACTCATTTTTTTGTGTTGATAAGATATCGTGCGCTAGCCGCTCTTACGGGGTGTGATAATGGTTTGTTTTGGTTAATGTGTAAGTATACATAGTGCTGTTGTGCATATTGTGATAAGATTGTGCAAGACCACCCAGTCTTTTGCCATTTATGGCTTTGTGCAATTCCTTGCTGCACAGCATATTGTTTTCGTTATCAAATCAATGATTGATTTCGCTATGTAGATATTTTGACTACTGTTATCATTACTATTGGACCGAATAGGTATGTCTCCGACTATGGCTGCCGTGTTATAAATATCGCTGTTGCTAGCTTCGACTGTTCCCTTATTGTGTTTATGAGAGGTGTAAAATCAGGGATATCAAAATCGCTTAGCCTTTTCAAATGCCACTCTTGTTGGTTAGCTTGTTCGTCGAATATCGAGATGTTCTGTGTCTGCGAGTGGTACAGCAGCGTTCCCGTTAGCTCTATTTCAACGGTTTTTTTGCACAGATAATTTGCATTTTTCCTTTATTATGGCGCTGCCAAAATTCAACAACACTTCTGTGTATTTTGTTGTTGGTCCACACTGAACCGAATACGCTTGGTGTCGCATTCTATCGTGATCCATTTTTCGCTCGGCGCGTTGCAATTTATGCTATTTTTGATCCTTCTTCACAGTTGAAGCAACCGGTGAGGTTTTTGATTGCAACAGTGCATTTCTGATCGACGATATAATTGGCGACGTTAAGCAGTAGCGATGGTTCTATTGCTATCATAACTTCACTTTCATTGGAAAACGCTTTTATCTCATCAGCTATGCTGACGATTTCTAGCGCTGGTGTAGTAAGCGGTAAAAAATTCGTTATTTCTCTTCATATGTCCTCGATTGAGTCTTCAGGACAGTTGCATACCTTTTCGATCTTCTCTGTCTGACATGAGCACACTATTCGCACATGTAAGTTGTGGAATTTGTGGCTTGCCATGTTTTGTGTTTCGCATTCTACAGGTCTCAAGTGATCGAGGATGATTAAACCCTCTTCTTGTGAGATCGCAAACCGTCTGTCTAACAAGAATGAGGTTGCTATACGGATATCACAGTGAGTGAGAACTCATCAACCCTTTTGGATAAATGTGGTGGAAGCATCAGGGAAAACTTTTTCTTTGTTGTAGATAGTTACTTCTAAGTTTAGGGATATTTTTGGCTTCCATTCCAAGCATCGTGCTACTTCATACACGGTATCCGATGTTGGGATGTGCGCAATTCGAAAGAATGAGCATGCGGGAAGTGGAAAAAAACATCCGCATGCAAGACCACTGAGAACTGTTGCAGGTAGAGTGCCCGGGATACTCGGCTGACTCTATAACGGGGAATATCTCATTTGGTGCAATAGTGTTATGTAACTGCGGGCTAGTGTCCAGTGGTATTTAAGGTTTTCCCCTTGATAACGGAACAGACGAACAGATTGAAAACAAGAAAGTTTATCCGTATGCAAAACAAACAGTAACAACGGCCTCAAGGTCAACAACGAACGAAAAACAACAAGAAAAACACGAAATCGGGGGGCCCGATTTGTCCCTCCAGCAGGGCTTTGCACGGTCAGGGTCGGATCAATTCTCGGTAAGTTTACACGTGAGGAGGTTTGGCTCTCTTCTGACCAGTTTTCGACTCCTTCGAGCCGCTTCTGCTCTCGGCTCCCCTCTCTCTTCCCCTTTATGCACTGCTGCGAGGTCAAATTGGCCTCTTCCTTTCCCTCCATCAAATATTGTAGATCGGTGATCCTTTCCATCCAACAGTTACATTTATCTTGGATACATGACCCCATTCGGGACATCATTTTTTATGAAATACTTTGCATTTACCATCTCTTATAAAGAGAGATACTTTTGCGCATGACAATTCCATAGCCTTCTTGTGACTTTGATTGTGCCAACGGTGTTGTTGTTGTGCAATATTTGTATGCACTTCCTTGTATACCTTGTTGAACAACACTTCCTTTTTATAGGTATAGTAGCAGTCGTCTTTATTTTCACATCTAAATCAGCAGTGTGACGCATATAACCATGTTGACAAGCTGATACATTTGCAACTATGGCCATCAAGGCTAAAGCTGTAGTCATGATTCTGTGATGAAACGTGGCAACACAAGAGCTTATCAGGCCCACCGTTTCCATTTTGAATTCCCTATCGGTCGCAACTTGATATGGAGTTCTTAGTCTAATACCATTCGCATTCTTATACTCAGACAATTGCATCGGGAAGTTCGCGGGTGCTTGCTCGGCCACCAATCATCCATGCCGCGAGCTGCCCGGTATAAACCGATATTGGACCCGG